TAAAATAAATAGATGGTAAATAAATAAATATTTATTAAAAAATGCTATAAAAATTGTATATTAAAAAATGAATTCTTTTTGTAAATCGTGTGAATGGACTAATTATGCAGTTATTGGACGCTAAAAATTCATTTGTATTCTAATATTTGCTTAAATATTGAATTAAAATGATTAATTCATTAGAGCGAACTTAATGAAATGGTGAACGGTGAAAATTAATTAATAATTAAATCTTGAATAACAAAAATAAATTTACAATTCCTCTAATGCTTTAAAAGTTTTGTACAATTAATTAATTAAGTGACCAATATTTTAATATATATATTTTAATATAATTTTCCAGACAAATACAAGTTGCAAAATTTAAATATTTCTAACAACCAACTTCTGGCTTGAAGTTAGGTGAGACGAGAGAAACATTTGGAAATAAAATTACAAATGGGCCCCATATAACCATGCGAATTTCATTCATAATGGTAATGTAAAAGATAGAGTAATAATTGCAGGAGTGGAATGATGCTCGCCTGCCACGCGTTGATATTTTAGAAAACCTTGATCTGGACAGCAGTAGAAATATTGGCCACCGCAAGTGTTTATAAAAATTTTAGTCTTCACCTCAAACTTGGGTAATTAAACCTCAGCAATATACTTATAAGAAAAAACAATATTCGATTCAAATTAAATCCATCGACTAAAAAGATAACTATCTCAAAACAAAAGAGAAATGATCGAATAATATAAAGGATATCAAATAACAAAAGTGTAAAATATTGAAACATTGGGACCTAATCGCTTGGGTCTCTTGTTGGCTCCACAATAAGAATTTTCTTGAGAAGAATATACAGTTGTAAATTAAGCTTAATATTCTACTGACATATGAATATGGAATAAAAATAAGCAAAGAATCGATTAAGTTAATGAAAGTTTTCTTTTGGCAGATCGCGGTCACCAGTTGAAATAATTTTAGAAAAGACATCGCATTTCGCGACAGGAAATTGCAATGGCTTGAGGTTAGTTAGTAATACAACAATAACTATTCCCATATTATTAGTTAAGGATCATAAAAAATATTTTAGAAAAAAGAAAAAATTTCATCATAGATCTTAGTAACCCCAAATGATCGCTAAGATCAAACATGAAACATTTATTTCTACGATAATTGGCGAAAATAGGCCAGAATAGGCAATACTCTATTCCTGTGCTATCAACACTGATGTTATTCGACTGAGGACGAATAAAACTGTAGGAAATACAGTCCGCTCTTCGGTATTAGTCGAATCTGTTTGAGGTTTGGGTGAGTGTTTAAAAACTGCTTCTTGACATCTCCCACTAGTAACGATGTTTTCGCAGCCATTTATTAAGTTCGTGCACTGCTTAAATAAAAATATATATATTATATATTAAAAATCTCACCAGATGGCACTGCAGATACTAGTAGCCGAGTAAATCTTTCGTTTTGATGCTAATTTCATGGCGTCGATTCCATGAAGCTTCACTTAATGAAACAAAGGCCTAAAGCTATTGCTCAAGCAAATCGAGTGAACATTCTCATATAATTAGTTTGCAGTTTTTTTACCTCATTCTACGAATTCCTTTACCACATTTTACCACATAGTAGTATTAACCTGCTTGGTTGTTTTCTCAATAAACAAATTTACTTCCGTCTAATATATGTATCAAACAAAAAAATTTTAATGGCATATTGGTAAAATCGATTTATTGATTTAATTTAATTTAAGCTAATTTTATTTAATTTTTCGATTTATTCATTTAATTTATGTGCAAGAAGCTGATTTTCTGAATTCATTACCGGTTGAGGAAGTGCCTGATTTCAAATACCTTGGGTCCACTCTAATACCAAATGGACAGGCAAAAGATGATATTATAACTCGGATTAAGGCAGCTAGAAATGCATTCTTCCGGTTTGCGAAACCTTTATGGAATCGTCGTGAAATCACCATAAAAATGGAAGTTCGCATCTATATTGCCGTGATCCGTTCGATCTTATTATATGGTTCTGAGATATAGCCAATGAGAGTGTAGGATATGTTTTTTCCTTAAGAAGTTATCTGCCTTTGACCACTCTTGTCTAAGGTATATTTTACGGGTTCGCCGAGTGGATAAAATCTCACAAGATCGCATCCACCATCGTTCAAATACCACTTGCATAAATAATGTTATCACAGAGCGCCGCCTTCGCTGGTCAGGGCGCATTCTCCGTCGTCCACCACAGGAGTTGACGCATATTTCGTTATTTGCTAAACCGTGTGAGGTTAGCGAGATGAGCCAATCAAGGTCTGGACTGATACGGTGAGAAAAGATTTTGAACGTATAGGTGGACCAGCAATAATGGACTTAGACGATGGAAAAAGGAATGGCTTCCATTACGATCGACGATGGCATCAGAGCGCGCCGCTTGGAAGCGTCTTACCCTTGTAGCCAGCCTAACCAGTAATGGTGAGAGCTGTTAGAAGAAGAAGAAGATTTAATTTTTCGAAGAGTCCTCACCATTATTGGTTAAACTCGCTCCGCTGAATTGTCGCACTAAAAAAATACCAGGGAGTTCTTTGGCGATAGAAGTGCAGGTGAGTCGCCAGTATAACCCGGTGATTTATTTATTCGATGAGCAATAATACATTGCAGAAGGAAGTGGAAGAAGTTTCTGGTCAGGCAAGTTCCGTGAGAAATATTCGTGAGGAGGTTCGATGGAACTGAATGACTGGGACTGCTAACGGCGTTTTTCATCGATGACGATAGGTTTACTTCTGCCTTGGCAATCAAGCAGAATAACATGAAAAGAATATTCAGAACAGACAAAATTCTGATCAATTTTTCGGATTTTAAATGGCTTTAATGAATTTTTTGATGCAAATGGCATATTTAAAATAAAAAATACTTCATCTACACAATTGGATTTACAAATATCGCCGATACGAAAAACCTTTAAATTTTCACCTTTAAAACCTTTAAAACGAGGTAAAACAAACGTTTAGCGCTGAAATTTCTTTTTTATTCTTTTCAGTTGCTCAATTTCATTCGTATAAACGATTCTAAATCGGTATTTTCGATAAGAAATTTTACTGAAAAAATCAACATCGCTCCGCGGTAAAGCTTTATTTCCAGTTTTAATATTGTGCTACTAAATTTTCAATTTGTGGAAATCAAGAAGATTGTTCGCAAACGATATATGTGACAGGTCATTTTTAATTAATTTTCGAAATCGAAGTGAATTCACATTTTTGGTCGACGGCTTTGTGGCTGTTATTGTCTTTATTTTTGCGCTTGAATCTGTAGAAATTTTCTTGTTTTGTTTCAAAGCACTGATTTATTGATTGGCCGAAAAAAATTGGCTTTATAATTGTTGGGAAATATTCGGAAACAAGCAGCGAGGAAATAATATAAGTGGTGCGACCTGAGTTCAAATTTTTATTGCAGGTGATTTTACTTATTATCTAATTTTTTTTTAAAGAGTCCTCACCATTGCTGGTTAAACTCGCTCCACTGGCTTGTTGCACTGGACAAATATACAGGGAATCCTTTGGTGATGGAAGTAGAGATGAGTCGCCAGCATCGCCCGGCACAGGTTTACTCCTGCGGGGAATCGAACCTCAGCATCGGCGCTCCCAGTTGAGCAACAAACCACCGAGCCCTTCTATCCCCATCTGTTATTTAATTGTTTGCCACTTATTTATAAGAGATTATTTATAGATAATTTCAATTCAATTACATATTAGTACATATTACTTTATTATTATATAGTACTATATTGTTATTATTATTATATTATATTATATTATTATTATATTACTTTTCTCTGTTAATTCCTAAAGCTTTTAGAAAATTATAAATTCATAAATTGTTTAATCATTACGAAATTTTTTTGAGGTTATTCATCGCCTGCCTTTTTTTCTTAGACCACTGCTGGTAAAGGCCACTTGGCTGGTTTGTTGACCCGTACAAATCTTGGTAGAGAGTTATAGCGATAGAAATACAGGTGAGTCGCTAGCACCCTAATTTTTTAAGAATAAATTTATTCTACTAAAGTCTGGTGAATAATTCACTGAGCCTCATTTGCTTTCGTCGTTCGACGACTTGCCGTCCGAAGCTTCGGCCAGATTCTGAGTTTCTCCATTTTCGATTCTCGTTAGGTGCCATCTTGAGTTTAGCAACGCCTTAGAAATTTTTATTTTGTTTTATCAGTTTCTGAAATTTTCAATTCCAAAATTGTTTGAGAAAAAATTAGTTTTATTTGATATGATTTTTTATTTTTAGATATTTTTCATTTTTCAGTTTTTCTTTTGTTTAAAATATTGTTGAAAATTTTGATTCTTTTTTTCCTTAAGTTTTTTAATTCAGATTTTAGTAACAAATGAAATATTAAGAATTTGTTTAACAATTTTATTTAAAATGCGATTAAAATGTTGCGTGCGATTGCAAATTACTTTTCAGATTTTTATGATAATTTTCAGTTTTTCAATGACTGCATATAGTATTGCAAAAACTAATTAATGGTAAAATTTTTTTATTCCATTGATTTATGAGCAAACTTGAAAGAAGTTTTTCTGAAGAGGTTTGTTTCCTTTAGTCCATTTTGTCGAAATTTTTGTAAAATTTCAATTTTTAATTTTCAGTTTCATTTTGAATTCTTTAAGAGTAAAAGGACAGACCATTCTTTATTCCAGAAAATGGGTTATCATTTTATTCTGAATTCTGAATTTCAAAATCGACTTCATTTTTTTTTTAATTGATGTTAATATCCGATCTTAATCATTCGGTTTTACATTTTAATTTCAATTTCGATCTTTTTTAAATCGTCAAATATTAAAAAATATTTTTATGAAAAATATTTTTCATAAATCTCACGAAAGATGAAAGATTATTTCTAGTATAGCGAAACGATCTGTTTGATTCCGTCGGATCATTTTGAATCAGTTTTTGAACCGGTTCCTAATCGTCGTAGAAAAATCGAAATGGAAGGAGCTCGTAGACGAGACGTTAAAATGTTTAATGAGGATGAATTAAATGGTAATTCAGTAGCCTCTAGTTCTGTTCCACCTCTTGTTCATATTGAACCAAGCAGAACATTGAAAGGTTATTTATATTTTTTTTATAATGAAATTTTTCCGTTAAATTTAATTAAATTCAAATTTAACTTTTATATCGATGAGATGAGACATTAATGATTAATTATTAAAATTAATTAATTAGTTAAATTAATTTTAAATTAAATTAAATTAAAATTAATTTTTAGCTGGTTTATTCACTTATTTCAGGCAACTCCAAGATTTTTAAAGGGATTTAATGTATCTGTCACTATTAGATGATTAAAGAATTAAAATAAATCATTTATAGATTGTATTGTCGAATTTAATGGTAGTAATAATGACATTTCTGCTAATGAAAATATGGAAAAACATTTAACAGTGGGCGAAACATCGGCACCTATTTTCAGGTTTTTTAAATTTTTTATTTGCTGCAGTATTATTCCACCTTTTATTTTTTTTTTTGATTTGTTAAATTTATTTTGGTCATTTTGCACTAGAGATTTCCTAGCCGTGTCTTATTGACCTCATAAGGACGTAGAAAAATATGGTAGGAAAGGTTTTAAACTCAGTTTTATAATCTAAAAACTTATTAAGGATTAACTTTCTCCATCTAACCAGGCATTGATGCAGCAGTTTCGCAAAATAAGGTCAAATTCCACCAGTTTTATATTGTTTTCTTTAATTTTATTTCGTAATAAAAAATTAATTACACAAAAAATAAATATATTTTTTTCTTACTTTTTGCGATTTTGCTGTTGTATTATTCCAACTAAGAATTTTGATTGCGTAAAATGATCATTAAAAATGATTTGAAATGATTATTATTTAAATAAAATAGCATAATTCAAATCCATGCACCTTCTGATACTTCCCATGAATCGTAGAGTCCAATGAAGCTAACTTGACCACTATTACTATGGTTTATAATAATAATTATGTTAAATACAATTTATATCATATATCCATAGATGTTTTCTACAGCAAATATGGTGATTTTCACACTATTGATTGGCAACGTGATTTGGCTCGAGACAGAATACGACATAAGTATGTAGTAAGCCGAAAACGAAACATTCCTTCTGGCATGCTATACAGTATGTGGGATGCAGGTAGTGGTTGGATATGCGTTCTAATGGTGGGACTTGCAGCTGGTGCGATTGCTGGTATCATTGATATGGGTGCACGGTGGATGAGCGATCTGAAAGTCTCTTTATTTTTTTTTTAATTTTTCTTTCTTTTTAATTTTAACTTTTCTTTTTTTTTAATTTTTTTAATTTTTTAATTTTTTTAATTTTTCTTTCATATTTTTATCTAATCACGTGGAACTCTACGAACTTTCCGGACAACCAATATTCCAATCAGATTGACTATATATTAGTCAGTCACCGCTGGAGAGTTCTGTTTTCGATAGTCGTTCTTATCGGGGCTCTGAAACTGGTAACCGCCATGAATCAGATCATGTTATGGTTCGAGCCAGGATTTATATAACTGACAAGCCGTAAGAAACAATGTATCCCAGGATCTTTCAACTATCTCAAATTAAAAGATGCGGGAACAATAAGCGCATTTCAAACCACATTATTGAAACACTTCAGTGAAATGAATGTCAGTGATATCTCTGGAACGACGAATGAATACTGGTCCCAACTAAAGATATGCTTACAAAAGTCAACCATTTTCACATTAGGGTAGTGCGCCAGTTGGGTGTCGGAAGCAATTGTCCAGCTATCTGAAAAAGCTGCCAAAGCACGAATATTAGGTGGTCCTGATTACCGGATGTTTCGAAGATTTGCAACGAAAGCAGCATGGCGGGACAGAAATCGCTATTGGAGCGATATGGCCTTGACAATGGAGATTCCGGTTCAGATAGGTGATAATGGGGTATAAATGATTTGCCCGTCTAGCCTTATGTTCGCAACTGTTAGCCGTCAACAGAAATAATCTCTGTAATCCATAAGCTTAAGGCCAGTAATACTCGGGTCGAAGCCAGTAATACTGATGTGGCTAACTACTAGATATCTCCGGAAAAAATTTCCTTCTGCTAAATATACTCTTGGCTTATGTGATAACAGAATGCGTCCTAACCAAGCTGGATTCAGACCACGATGCGATTGTGCCGACCAGATATTTGTGCTAAGAAGGGTGCTGGAACATCGCTTCAAATACCAGCAACCCACGTTACTTGCTTTATCAATTTTGCGGCTGCCTTCGATTCGATTGATAGAGCAGAGCTCTGGAAAATGATAGAATGATAGAGTGTTCCAGAGAAGATCATTCGGCTCATGAAGACATTTTATCAGCATACCCTGGCGCAAGTCTGTGTATATGGGGAGTCGACAGACTCCTTTGAAATAAAAACTGGTGTCCGTCAAGGCTGCGTCTTTTCCCTCACAATATTCAACTATGCGGTAGACTAGATAATGGGTATCGCTTGTCCGCAAACCAGTCCAGAACATAGCATCACAGGCCTAGAATACGATGATGATGTAGTCCTTTTTGCTGACAGTTACGAGGAAATGCAAATTATTTTAAACATTATGTCAACAACTGTAGCGAGAATTGGACTCAAAATCAATGTAAGTAATGTAATATAAAAGTATTATATACAAGATGCTGATAAATACCTATTTTTATCAATTCATTGCCGGTTGAGGAAGTGCTGGACTTTAAATACCTTGGGTTCACTCTAATCCCAAATGGCCAAGCAAAAGATGAAATCGTGGCCCTGATAACGACAGCTAGGGTTTTTTCCGGTTGATGAAATCTTTATGGAACCGTTGCGAAATCACCATAAAGACGAAAATCCGTGCTATATGACTGCGAAACATCGCCAATGAGAGTGCAAGATATTAAGAAGCTATCAGCCTCTGACCACTCATATCTCAGGTACATTTTACAGATCCGTCGTGCATATGAAAGCGCACATTGTATCCATCTTCGCTCAAATACCATCTGTATTAAAAATATTATCACAGAGCGTCGCCTTTGCTTGTTAGGGGATGTTCTCCGTTGTCCACTACAGGAATTGACGCATATTTCATTATTTGCTAAATCCTATGATGGTTAGAAGCGAGGAGGGCCGGTCAAGATCTGAACTGATACAGTCAGGAAAGATTTTGAACGTAAGGGAACCAGCGATATATGGACTTAGACGATGGAAAAAGGAATGGTTTCTATTGCTATTAGCGATGGAATCGGACTGAGCAGCTTGGAGATGTCTTATTCTTGTAGCCAGTGGAACCAGCCTAACCAATAATGAGGAGAGGAAACCAGTAATGTTAGAAGAAGAAATTTTTATCAATCTTCATGAGTTTATTGAGACTTGAAGAGATTTGTAATTTTTTCATTTGTTGAAATATTTGCTGATCCACTGGAATGTTTCAGGATGGTATCTGTGCAGATCGCTTTTGGCTCGATCGTGAGCATTGTTGTTGGTCAGCCAATGATAGTGTTTATAAAGATGCGGATTGCTCAGCATGGTCATCTTGGCCAGAAATGTTACAGTTTACTGAGCGGAACTTCTTATATTATCTTTTTGAACTTTTTTTCTATTGCGGATGGAGTTTGCTTATGACAGGACTTGCTGTTTCTTTAGTGAAGGTATGAGATATTTTGTTGATTTTTTTAATTTTATTTAACTGGTTGAATTTTAGTTTTATTCCTAATTTGTGTGAACAGAGAAATCTTAATTTGGAATTAATTATTGGAACTAGTCATATCGATTTATTTTGTTGTAGATTTTTGCTCCATATGCCTGTGGATCAGGTATACCCGAAATTAAATGTATTCTTTCTGGTTTTATTATTCGTGGATATTTAGGAAAATGGACATTTATTATAAAATCAGTTGGTTTGATTCTTGCATCAGCTTCTGGTTAGTATCATTTATTTTATTATGCTTTATAAGTATTTGCACATATTCTCCTTCGTGTTTTTTCATTTCATTTATATTTCATTCAAGGTTTGAATTTGGGAAAGGAAGGTCCAATGGTGCATCTTGCATGCTGTATTGGCAATATTTTTTCATATCTTTTTCCTAAATATGGTTCAAATGAAGCCAAAAAACGTGAGATTTTGAGTGCTTCAGCTGCTGCAGGTGTATCTGTAGCTTTTGGTGCTCCCATTGGAGGCGTTATGTTTAGGTAAGTTTTCGAATGAGTAATTATTTTTGTATTAATTTATTTGTAATATTTTCATTTGTATACATTTAATGCCTAAATTGCCTTTTGTGCGAATTTTAATTCATTAGATTATTCACAATTATTTGAATTTCAGTTTGGAGGAAGCAAGTTATTATTTTCCCTTAAAAACTATGTGGCGTTCTTTCTTCTGCGCTCTTGTTGCCGGTATTATTTTGCGCATAATGAATCCTTTTGGTAGTGATCAGGTAATTTAATGGATATCTTTAATAATGTATTTTTGTTTCCAAGTTTTTGTTGCGTTAAATTGAAAACATTTTGCTTCATTAGAAAATTGCAGACATCGTTATTTCATGTGGATTATAGCATGAAATGGACTTTCATAGAGCTGATTCCATTTGCTGGCTTGGGTATTTTTGGTGGAATCATTGGTAGCCTATTTATTTGGTAATTTATTTCAGTTAATTTATTTTGGTAATTTATTTTTTAAAATTTTATTAGTTTTCTGAATTTAATCATAGGAAGAAATAGATGGCAGATAAATATTTCCTTCTGACAGGCTTTTTATCTAAATATTATTGTATACTTTTCTAAAAAAAAGTGAACTTTAAATCTTTATTAATCTTAATAAAGATCTTTATTATTCTTTATTATTTAAAATCTTTATTATTTAGGGCGAATATTAAATGGTGCAGGTTTAGAAAAACAAATAAAACACTCGGAAGCAATCCAATCAATGAAGTCTTAGTAGTTACCTTAATTACATCCTTTTTAAGCTACTTTAATCCATACACGCGAAAAAGCGCTTCGTCCTTGATAAAACAGGTAAAATAAGTTTTATTTTATTTTTTTAGGATACTTTTATGTAAGGTTAGTGATTTTTGTTCTTGGCATGAGCAAAACTGTACTGAAAATTCAGATGGTGATAGAAAGCTATTGATTTTAATTTTTTTATTCTATTAGTTACTGCTACCAACAAAGATGATATATGGTATTAGAAAAAAATGTTCTTTATATAATTAGACTTATTGGGAATTTTTTTGCATTTTGCCAAATTGATTTTTTACAGTTATTTGATCGTTGCGGACCTGAAGATTACATGATGGATCTTTGTGATTATCAAAATAAAACTTTCAGTTCTGATAAAGTTGATGATAATTATCATACCGGTGAACTTGGGCAAGGTGTACATGTTAGCGAATTTTAAATTTTTCATTTCCAAGTATACTTATAATTTGTATATTGATACTTTTCATAATTAGAAATTTTTTCTCATTAAATATTTTGCTCCATTTAAGTGAAGAATCTTATTTTTTAGAGTGCTTTTTTGCAATTGATAGTGGCCTTAATAATCAAATTTGTTCTAACCATATACACTTTTGGAATAAAAGTGCCATCAGGATTATTTGTTCCAAGTTTAGCGATGGGTGCAATAGCCGGTAGGCTACTGGGCATCACAGTTGAAGGATTCACTGCATCATTACAGGTTTTTCATTCTTGTAATCTTTGGTATTCTTTGGTTCATCTTATTTCTGTTTCCTTTTATATTCATTGCATTTTGCTTTTTCGTTTGTATCATTATTAAAATTATAAGCTTAATTATTTTTCATCGTTGAATTATTTATTGTTTCCGATTTTCTCATTTCATTATTTATAAAAATTTCTTCCGAGCTATCTATATTTATGAATTTTACCTGTAGATATAAAATTTTCCAGAAAGATGGTATACAGAGCAGCATTTGGTCTTGTCAGATAGGTAAAGACTGTGTTATGCCTGGGTTATATGCTATGGTTGGTGCCGCTGCTGTATTGGGAGGTGTTACCAGGTAGGTTCAATTTCTTTTAAATTTTTAAAATTTTTTTTTCTTTTTTCTTGGCTAATTTTTCGAAAATATTTCAGGATGACAGTATCACTGGTAGTTATAATGTTTGAGTTAACTGGAAGTCTAGAATTCATTGTTCCCACTATGGTAGCTGTTATGTTCGCTAAATGGATCGGTGATGCAATCTATAGATTGGTACGATTTTTTTCTTCGTATTCTCCTAAATTATTTTTCTCTGATATTTCTGGCGTTTTCAGATAATTCTCAGACATTTTTAATCGCTCCTCATAAGATCATGTTTTTAAAAAAGCTTTGATTTGGAAAACGGTTTTTTTTGTTTTTCAAATATTTTCACTTGCCTATTACTTCCAATTTCAAGGGCATATACGATGCTCATATTGATCTCAATGGTTATCCGTTTTTGGATAATAAAGGGGAATATCCTTTTTCAACTGTGGCTGTGCAAGTTATGAAACCATTGCCAGGTTTATTTTTGATATCTATTTTATGTAGAAAATGTAGATGGAATTAAGGTGTTTATTCTTGTCACAAGAGCTTGAATTGATTGAATTGGTTAATATTCGATTAGATAGCAATGAAGTAGTTCGATGGTAGAATAACAATCAATTTTGTTTTGAACTCAAGAAATTGAACCAATGAAAAATAAAGTAACAAGAACTATTAAAACTATTAAAAAAAGTGACGAATAATACAAAATGTAGGGAAAGAAAGAGAAGTTTTTATTAATAATAAATTATAAATTAATTAAAAATTGTCAAACAAAATATGTGATTATGCGAGATCTAATTATTTGGATTCTGTTCGAAGAAGCATTAGGAAATGAATGTGTGGTTTAATCGCCAATGCAATCACAGCTGTGGATGAAAATTTGCTATAAAAAGGAATCAAGTTCAAGATTTAAATACTTGAGGAGAGCAACAATGGCATTTTAAGGTGAAAATCGTAAATAAGTGGAATAATTCGAGTTCGGATAAATTATTAATAAATGTGGGAAATTCGAATTCGAATAAAACTTCTGACAAAAAGTATTTGAGTCTTCGTAGAACTAACTTTTGGTACTAAATAATTTAGAGAAATCTTTTGTTTTAGGTGGTGATCCGTTGCGAGTACTCACCCAAGATACCATGACTGTAAGTGATGTTGAAATGTTGATGAGGGAAACCGATTACAATGGCTTTCCGGTAATTGTCAATGAAGAAAATTATTTTCTTGTCGGTTTTTGCACAAGGTAATTATGATAATTGATAAAAAAAGATCAATATCGTTTTCAATATCGATTAGCCTCAGTTTTAGAAATTCATAATTTCACTATTTTGTGAGAATATGAATATATTTTCATATTTACTTATTTCCATTGTGGAAATGTTTATTTTTAGACTTTCAAAGTTTATAAATTCTTTTATAAATCTCGAATTATTTGGTAGGCGAGATTTGCAACTGGCACTTTTATCAGCGCGTAAAACTCAAGCATTTATTGTTCCCAATTCAATTGTTTATTTTACATCTGATACGCCTGAAGATCAGTCAGCTGATCCTTGTCCATTACGTCTTCGTAAAATTATTGATTTGGTTAGTGCAGTTTCCATTTTTTCATACGATTGCAACTCATGATATTATCTAACACCCTCTATCACTTTTAATAGCAATTTTTAGGCACCAATGACAGTAACAGGTCAAACACCAATGGAAACTGTAATCGACATGTTTCGGAAATTGGGATTACGTCAAGTGCTTGTCACTCATAATGGTCGTCTTCTCGGAATAATAACGAAGAAGGATATCCTTCATTTTATGAAAAAAAATGATAATCTTTTCGTATAATTCCTTCATTTTTTTTCTTTTGTAAGTAGGTTATCTGGTATTATATTTTTTTATGCGAAGTATCATTGCATGATAATTTATTGCTATTGGTTTTAATATGTGATTCAAATTTAACGCCTTCCGTTTCTTTTTTTCCTTTTTCATTTAACAGCGGTATAGCATTTGTGGAGCACTTATAGACTTATGTGAATAAAAATTATCTAAATATTCAGTTAGTTTCATAGAATCTTATAGATGTGTTGTATATGGCATGGATGCTTATTTGTGGTTCTATTTTATTCTATCTTTTAAATTTATAATTAATTTTATATTTGCTGTTTAGAGCAATGAATATTTTTTAAAAGAGTATTTTATATGAGTATCTATCGTTTTGTAGGCTAGCAGTCATTAAGATTTGTGTGGGATAATTTTTATAAATTATGAATAATTGTCGCTGATATTTATTTTATCATTTTGATTTTTTTGTATTTTCTGATTATCTCTTGATATTGATATATTGCCATAAGCGAATTGTTTTAATACTTGTATTAGGCCAACTTCTTTTGTAAGTATCCTTTGCTATATTTCCTTACTGAATAAACCGTCGAGTGAGTTATCTTTATGGTGCCATTTTCGGAGCGTAATTGGCGTTATTACGGCAACAAGTTGATATATTTGTAAGATGGCATTTTAATAATTTGCTATGGGATATTTTAATCTGGTTAACTTTTCCGGCTTTTAATGATTTTTCGCTTAAAAATATAGGTTCGATCTTATATTGCTTGTTGGTCATGATGAATTGTAATTCAAATGTTATAAATTTTTGACCTAGGTAAATGAAGGGTCAAGGGATTTGTGTGTTGCCAATTATGGCTGGTTGTCGAAAAGACATAGATAGGCTTCTGAAGATGTATAAAGAAAAGGAAACATTGCGATATAAGCCGTTCGTGGAAATATTCGAAAAACTAAAGTTCCATACGATTTTTATGGGAAGAATAAGTTCGGCTGAATTGGTTGAGGTATGTAAACGAGTCTTTTGTATATTCCTCAAATAATGTGGATTAGTACAGATCATTTTTCTAGTGGTAGTCCATTTTAGTGTGTCATTCATCCATCGAAGTTGGAGTGATCCGATTCTTCCAGTCGCATTTTTTAAAAAATAAGGTTGATTAAGATTAAGGTGAATGGAAAATTCATAAAATGAAATGACTGTAATTATTAGTGACGCATAATTGGAAGGAGTTCCACCTATTAATGCATTAGTATATTTTAATCTCAGAGTTCTCGCTGAATATTAGTATATTTCCCACGATATATTTTACATTTAAATAGCATAAAATTATATTGACTCGCATTTTCTTAAAATTTTATTAATTTGGTTTGGCGTTTTATGAATTAATTCTTTTTTTTAAATTAAATTTTTTTTTTAATTTCAAATAATTCGATCAAAATGGATTATTCAATTTCAAATAATTCGATCAAAATTGATTACTTAAATTTTAGTTTAGTGAGAAGCTTCTTCAGTTAGCTATATCGTATGCAATGTGTTATCAGGCTGTTCAACCCGCTGCATATACGGTGCAAAGTCAGGGAAGTTCTCACTATACATCTGCTACTGATATTAATTTCAATAACGAAATGACTTTACAGGTCTTTCCTATACCTATATTAAATTTGTAAAACAATAGTTTACAATAAGCCAACCAGTTTTACCAACTATGGTTTTCCAATTACTAATGAATATATTAAGAATTTTTTTTCTTACTTCTTTTGATAAAAATAAAATTTCTTTCTTATTTTCAGGATAGAGTGTTTGGCATATATTTAACATATTCTTTGTATTTTGTGCAGTCAGATAAATATTTGGCTCAAATTCTCATAACGCCCGATCAAGTGAATGATCTTCAGGAATTTCTGCAAGATCGACTTATTCCCGAACGGCATATTGATGCTTTTACAGCTCTTTACAAACTTATTAGTGGTGGTGCATTTCGAATTTGCGCTTTTGAAAATGAAGTAAGAATTCTACAACCTTTTTCAAGCTGAAAATTTTGATTTCATATTTTGAGTTTCAAAGTTTTTTTTGTTCGGAAAATTATTTGTTTTAGTATAATCCTTTAAACTGTCGTCGTTATGACCATTCTAATTTACTGGAAGGATTAGTAGATGAATCCCAACCAGATAACTGCAGCTTACTTCGTGCGTTTGGTGAAGATGTTGTATTAACTCAAGCAGATTTAATAAGCAAAAGGTTATATATATATTTTTAAAAAGGATATATTGATGAAATGGATTTTCCTTTTTCATATATATTTTTTATTTAGTTTTGCTAGATTTGACTTATTCGGCGCTCACATTCTTAATAATTTTTTGAATTTCAGATACTTGGCCGCGAAACAAAAATCAAAATTAACTGATAAGCTGGGTCTTAATTTTGTAACGTCTAATGTTTCACAAATCTATTCCTTGTCAGCTGTGAAAAATTTTTTTAAAAATAACTTTTTAATATTTTTTATAATTTTTTTATAATAAAATTTTTTTAAAAATAAAAGATTTATATGAAAATTATAAAAAGAATTTGTCAGATTTTCGGGAAATCGGATTTTGTATAGTGAAAATGGATTTTTTCTTTCTTTTCAGTTCAATAGAATATTCAATAGAATAGAAAATCTTCGAAGAATTTTTTTTTTTAGAATTTTAAAAGCCAATGAAGAAGCATCGCCCAATGACGAAGAAGAAATTACACGGTCTCGCCGTTTGTCGGTATTGCTTTATACTGCGTTTTTTCATTTTATTTTTTGAATTTTAATATCATATTTATTGTGGTATATCAATTTGGTTTCATAGAAAAAAATTTTTTATCTTTCTTATTGTTCGATTCAAATAATAATAATTAACAAAAGAAGGATTTGTTGTAACAGTTTTTAATATTTTTTCAGGGTCGTTTTCGTTCGGCTATTAAAGAAAAAGCGTATAAGTCGCATGCACTCACTGCTCGTCAACGACGTCTAAGAATGCGATCATCTAAAACAAATAGCGAAGCAAATGAATCCGTAATATCAGCTGCAACATCTGACTCTGTAAGCTTTTTATATTAAATGCCCATTTGCATCGTCAAGAATTTAAAAAATAATTAAAAGTATTGAATTAAATTTAATTTATTTTGAATAATATATGATAAAAAAGCTATTTTTGCAGTTGATACAAATAAAAAATTCTAAACATGAAAGTAAAATGGATGAAAACTCTGCTGAACCGACAAATGCTGAAGACAATAGCGTTTATATGCGTGTGAATATGGATGAGCAAAATAGATTTGATGTTTCGGAATTAATCGACAAATCGAAACATGATATAGTGAAAAATAGTAATACTTTAGTGGAGTATAGGGATCAGTCAAACTGTCAAATATCGGAATATAACGATAGTCAGATCTTTTCAAATACTACGCAATTGCTTGATTCGGTATCAGCTAAGCGAAATGACGTAAAAATTTGAATCATATTTCAGGATTTTCTTTGAAGTTTTGAATTTCATTGGATGTTTGTATTGATTTGAATATTTAATTTCCAATTTATTTATTATTTAATTTTTAATTCATTTTAATAATTTATTCATTTTTATCTTCATTTTTCGACGATTCACTTCGTATTTTGAAAGACTTATTTTATTTAAATCATTTGGAGAAAAGCAAGAACATATTTTAACTTTCAATAAATTGGAAATTTAGCTTTTAAAAAAGATTTTTGTGAAATGATTTAATGAAAATGAAATGAAATCATAGATTAACAATTCGGAAGCTAACAGTGATCAAAATGAATCGATAGGTAGCAGAAAAAGCAGGTTGGAGGCTCTATTTTCATTTTTTTGTTTATAATAAACAATAATTAATAATAATAATTAAATAATAATAATTTTTATGATAATTTTTGATAAAGATCATTTTTTTGCCACACATCGCTAGTAAAACAAAATGATATATTTTGTTTACTAAAAATCATAGAAGAGAAATCTTTTCATTTTAACTCCATGATTGAAGAAGAAATTTATTCGTTTAAATATGTTTTAAATGATTATTTCAAGTAAATTTAAATATAATATACATATATATTAGTATATATAATTTTTAAAGATTATTTAAGATCATTTTTTAGAAAATCAACAGACGATAAAGATCTGAGGATATCACTCCCAAAACGTATGTGCATAAGCGTTGATTCATCAGAAGTGAGCAACGGTAAATCTTTTTGTTGTTTTATATTTAGATTCATTTAGGTTTTAGGTTTTTATTTTTTCATTTAAAAGGATAGGATGGCTTAGTGAGTTACTGCTCAATTTGGAGCGCCTATGTTTAGGTTATATTCCCCACAGGAGTTAACCTGTCAAAAAATCAAAGTGATGCTGGCGATTCACTTGTATTTTTATCGCTAACTCTCTGGCATATATGTCGAATGCGACAAGCCAACGGAGCGAGTTTAACACCAGTAACGGTGAAAATTCTTTAAAAAAGAAATTTAATTGTTTTTTATTTATTTACTTATTAAATTAATCAAATATATTAAATTTATTTATTTATTTATTTAAAATTTATTTATTTAGAAGTGCAAACGGATTTTGTAATAGCAGAAGCATAAAACATATAATAGTAAAATGGTACAATAGTAAATACTTTATTAGAGGAAGTAATGAAAATGGATTGACGAAGAAACAAATTTAGAGTGGGTAATTTGTTATAAATGCTGTAATAGTAAAAAATTAAGAAAAAAAAACTGTGAGAAATTGTGAGTGGATAATTTATTTATAAGGCTTTGGTCTTATAAATTGATTTCATTAGCTCTCATGTTATTCAAATTAAAGAGAAATCACAGAATTTAGATATTTGAATCTGGATAACCAAATGTTTTTTAAATAAAAAACTTTAGGAAGGACCCTATTGGTCATGAAAGATCCTCATAAGAGGACAACACCGTCCAACAATCGACCAATAAAACCAGAGCCATAAAACATATAGTACCACCCAATAATCTGCCTACCCACAATGTGGAAAGTCCTGTAAGGCATCATAGCCATCAGCTTCGTGACAATATGAGCTAGTATATGAGTGCAGTTCAAAAAGGCATTGAGAACAACACCAGAGGCTTCATAGCTACTCATAGATAAGGCAATCGCTTTAGGATTAAAATCCTATGTATAGCTTAAACTGATTACTGACTATGGAAAAGCCTACGATTCAATGCCCCACACATCTGTGAATGTCTGGCTCTGTAACTCAGTAGAAGCATAAAGACGTTCATTGAGAATTCAATGGATCTGTGGGAAGCGACATTTAAAATAAACTCAAAAGTACAAGTGCCTATCAAGTTCGGTATACCAAGGCGATTATCTCTTCTGTTGCTCTGTATAGGTCTAAACTCTTAACCAGATAATCATCAGGACTAAGACCCTACTGTGGAAATCAAAATTATCTCTTCTTTATTAAGAATTATTAAACCAACATTTAAAGTATTGATGGTGTCGGAAAAATTTTAATCAGAGTGTAAAATTTCATATTTTCAACAGATTACCACGTATTATTTAACCTCTGTGGTCACCAGCACAAAGATAAAAAATTTTAGAATTATAAAGGCCATTAATGTACAGATTGTAAGTTAAAGGACAGTTTACTTGATCTAATGTGAAGAATCGTGACATAGAACATCTTTAAAAAAAATTATTTAAAAATAATCGGAAATTCGACTGATTCCCTTAAATTTTTTTTAATCCAGCAACTTACTATGTCAAATAATATGATAAACATTAGCCAGGTCAAGATTCTTAATAGATATCAATTGGCCACGATTATAGAGAATGACCTGTCATAAAGATTAACTATGTAAATTAACGAATAGTAATGTACTTTTTTTTACAAGCTATGATGGTTTAAACTGGGTAAACTAAGTATATGCAACAACACAGACGTCTTAAAAGCTAAAATCAGCACATGAATAAAGGCGAACTTTGATTATATAAATGTATTTTAGTTATAATCGAAATGGAGAAAACAGCACGTGAAAAAAATTTCGAGCGATTGTTTGAGCGAATCAACAAAGATTGATCGTCGTTTTTTATATATTTACAATATAGCAGCTGTTTCCAACATATTAGTAAGGTCACGCAGAGTTCTGTTGAAGCCACGGTTATGTTTACAGTCATCTCGTAGTATACAATGTGTGTTATTCCTTTCATGCTAATGGCTACTTTGTATTTCGTATGAGTCTAATACTCGTATAATATAGTATTGTTGATTTTGAACTGTGATTTTTTGAAATTGCGTAACATTTTTATTTGTAAAAGATAATTTTAGTCTCCAAAGTCATTAAACAAGTAAACCATGCCTTTTCCTTATAAATGCATTTGTAAATACGTTTGATCAATTTTGATTATTACGCGACAATATTTAATTAATAAATAGATGGCTAGCAGAGTGCTTTCCCGCTAGGCTCGATGCATTGACTACGAAAGCGCCAGAAAGTCACTTGAGGATGAATATTCGCCATGGCTTTTTCTGTAGTAAATAAATGGATATTTCTAAGTCTGCGGTGTTTAATCCGTTGCATTTTTAAAGATATGAGATGAAAAAGCAGTAGTTGTTGCAACAGCTGCAGGCCTAGTTAGCGATCTGATCTCAATAAGACGATGAATGGCCGCAGTCCGATTTCACATTAGTCTTGTCAATTCGCTTCAGGAGGTTTCGTGGTCTAGTTGTGTTTTGAGTGGGCTAAGGTGCACTTCAATATTCAGATCTAAAATATAAATCTAAAATGAAACGTATATTATGTTTTTGAATTGCACGGGGGCAGTTTGAGGTAACGTTTTCGCCGGTAAGCTGCGTTTTAGGGTTCCATTCCCCACTTCGGAGGCTGCTTTTTAGAGTTGCATAAGCTCGTTTTAACGATTTGGATATCGTGCATGTTTGCGTCATGTGTGTCGAGATGTTCTGAAGGCTCGCGGCGGTGATTTCAGCTGTGGGTGCGCATCTTAGTTCCGTCCACTCGTAAACTGGGTTGAATTGGATTGGAAATGAAGTCAGTTCGAGGTTACATTTTGTATTTAAATAAATCTTGTTGCTTGAGTTAGGTGATTAGTTTCACCAATTTTAATTAATTTCTCTTGCGTTTCCTTTATTTATTGATTTCTCTTGTAGAAGTATATTCTTGGATGATTTTAAGGCATATTTTTGAAACGCTTTTCTATAGTTTTTAAAACATTCATATGATTTCCGCAGAGAGCGACTATAAATTTTTATATAATATATATGTGCGTAAGTTTCTGTGGGGGCCAACTGTTGATTTGATTTGAACTGAATTGATAATATACTATAATTCTTGATATGATTTTAAGTTTTGAATTGCAGATGTATTTGAGTCATGGATTACTTCCATCGCCTATCGGATTCTTAGTAGAGAATTCGAAATCTAATCCAGCGTTACTAAACTATGGCAAATTCGATTTATTAAGCTCTTCAAAATCAAATGCAAAAGCACTTATCTCTAAGCTCAGTACTTGTTTTTCAGATGACCGGAGGCAACAACAGCAAACTGTGCTGTCCACTTCTCAGCAGCGAATTCGACCGAATTTCGCTAATGATGGTCCGTTATTTTATTACTCGTCAGTTCAGGTCAATCTTTTGTAGATTGCTTGATTTGGCGTTCTTTTTATCATTTTTCCTTGTTAATACATATATAAAGGAAGAATTTTGGTTTGAAAACTGCAAAATCAAAGTATAAAAGTTCCAAGTGATATTCTTTATGCACTCTTCGAATTTTCGTCGTGTTTTTTTTGCCAAAATTTTTTTTGCTTACTTTCCGTTTCATTTCCCTAAATTTTCATAAGTAAATTCTGCATGGACCATTTAGCAGTTTTTTCGCGGATTGGCTGGCATCATTGGAGAAAATAAAAATTTATAGATTTTCATTAAAAATAAAAGATTTTCATTTATATAAAGTTATATGAGACATAAATGCAACAATCGATTTGAAATATTAATTAGAAAGAAAAAATTGAATTAAACATAAATTAATAAATTAACTTCTAATCATTGGTTTTGATTTGATTTTTAGAAGATTTTAATATGTCGAAAATTTGCATTTTTTAAAATTTTTTCAAGATTAAGAGGAAATATTTCATAACTTTTTTTCTTTATTACCAGTTCCATGGAAGATTATTAGTTGTTAATTGCTTATTTTTTTACTGAACATAGCGATTTATTTTTGTTTTTTATTCCTTGTTACCTTTTGTTAATTATAATCTTAAGAAAACCAGCTTTGAGAATTCGGCGGTTTTATCTTGGAAATTATACTTTTATACTTCTATTTCAGTATATGGTGTCGATGAATCGATTAAGCAGCAGTATCCCTCCTCATCGCATATGCATTCTGAAATGAATAGCGGAACGGTATTTGAAATGTGTGAGTCGGCCTTGGCTCAAAGGAGATCTGCTCAGCTACCGAAGCTGAAAGAAATCTCTAACAAACCACGATTCGAAAGCAATGATTTCATGGTATTATATTAAAATTGAATGATGGTCACGCATGATTTCGTTATTAATCACTACCCTTCGATCACTTTGGTTGCTTATCTGATTTTTGTTGGAGTAGATTGATAAGCAATACAGAATACGGTTGAATTTTTTTCTTTTTCTTCTAACAGCGCTCATCATTACTGGTTTCGCTAGCTTTAGTGGTAAGACTCCTCCAAGCTATTCGGTCCGATACTATTTTCATCATCTGATTCCATACCTTCTATATGTTTAAAATCTTTTCTGACTCTATCAGTCCGGGTTCTGATTGGCCGTTCTCGCTTTTGACACCAACCGTCACACGGTGAGCAAGTAGTGAGATATGCGCCAATTCCTGTGGTGAGTGACGGAGAACCTTAATCAGCGAAGGTGACGCTCTGTGATAACATTAATAGAAGTAGTATTTGAGCGAACTTGGCGAATCCGTAAAATATACCTTAGACATGAGTGGTCAGTGGTTAATAGCTTCGTAATATCTTTTAATCTCACTGGCAATGTTTCGCAACTATATACTAAGATCGAGCGAATTGCAATTATATGGACGCTGATTTTCGCCTTTATGGTGATTTCGCTACGGTTCCATAAAGATTTCATCAGCCGGAAAAATAATTCTAGCTGCCGTTATCCTTGCGATTTCATCCTTTATCTGGCCATTTGGGATTAGACTGGATCCAAGGTATTTAAAGTCGGACACTTTCTCAACCGGCAATGAATTGATAAAAATAGGTATTTTATCAGCACCTTCTATATAAAACGAAAATACTTTCGTTTTATTTACATTAATTTTGAATCTGATTCTCACTACAGTTTTGATGCATCGTTATTTGCGTTTCATTATAACTGTCAGCAAAAAGCATATCATTAGCGTTTTCAAAGTCTACGATGTTATGATCTGGGCTGATTTGTGCATCCTCTTAAATGCCGACAAACGATCCCCATTATCCAGTTTATCATATAGTTAAATGTTGTAGGGGAAAGGATGCAGCCTGAAGACATACCGGACGTATGCCGATAATGCTGGTAAAATGCCTTTATGAGTCGAATGATCTCTAGTATTCATATTCCATCACAAAGCGCTATGTCAGTTGAGTCGATGAAGCAAATGGTGGTAAGTTGCTGGTATTTCAAGCGATGTTCCATCACCTTTCTTAGCTTAAATATCTGGTCAGCAAAACTGCGTCTCGTTCTGAATTTAGCTTGGTTAGAACGTTATCTTGTGTTGCGATGAGTTTAGCAGAAAGAAAGTTTATTTAGCGAAAATTTTTGGGAAGATGTATTGTAGACTGATTCCTCGGTAGTTATCGGTATAATCGGTAGTTAGTATGTTCTGGTCAATTTTCTTAGGAATTGAAAGAATTGCTTTCCTCCAGTCTTCTGGTATTATTTATTTTTACCATATCAGAGAACACATTTATTGAAGATGTTATGAACGATGATGGACAATATTTGAAGAATTCGACCCATCTTCACTGGGATTTTTATTGACATTAAGCTTATGGATTGCAGATATTATTTCCTCTTCTGTTTGCAGTTAAAATTAAAACTGATAAACTAATATCATGGGCAAGAAGAAGAAGAATTTTGACAATAAATGATTCATTATACTCTTTATCAACAAAGAAATGAATTACCCTTACATGTCATGAGCGAGTGGATCACAGTTATTTACATGCTTTAATGTTTAACATTATATATATATATATATATTCAAAATTTATTAAAATAAATTTTCAGAATCGTGGTGAAATGATGGATTTGGATTTTGTTTATACGGATTGTGATACTCACGCTGCTGAACTTGCAGAACTTTATACATATAGTGAAATTGAAGATTGGGCTACAAATGTTCATTCATTCAGAAATTATGCTGAAGCAAAGAGGGTTCATTAATTTTTTCTTTTTTAAAATTTTCTTTGAAATCTTTTTATATCACATAATTTCTCTTTTATTTAAGATTGAAACAGTTTGGTCTTCTCTTTCAACGAATCAACAAAAAGCGATATTTTTTGATCTGATAGAACGTTTGGAAAGTGTTGAAACTGATGTACGATTGGATTCAGCGCGAATAATACTCTACATTTTACAAGTATTTTTGCAAGTATTTTTTATATTAGGTTAGAGGCAATGAAATGCTAAAATTTTTTCTAATTTTTCGTTTAAACTTTAAAAATACATTTTTGATGTCTTTTCTTGGTTATTTGCGACTATGATACATTGTCTTTTTTAAACTTTATTACTTATTTTAGGGTGCTTATTTGGATTTTATCGATGAACAGAATATTAACATCGATGATGCTTTCAATGTAGATAAAGCAAGAGAACCAGTAGATTTTGGTACAGGTGGTTATGAGGAAAAATGTTTATCGGAAGGAATAATTAATGCTTATAAGGCGTATGAAGCTGGTGTTTTTCAGGTATATTTTTTTTTTTGAAAGAGCCATTTTGATTTATCTATATGTATACTTTATTGAACATATGTCTGTTTATTCATTGAACAAACATTTTTTATATGTAATTATTTGATTTATTTTTTAGGCATTGTGTACCGCCCTTATGACAGAGCTTGATGACCCTTGGGACGTTGCTGCTTCTGGAGAACCACGCGCCAGCCAGTGTTCATCACTATCTAACAGTAGATCGACATCGAATGCGGATTTAACGGATAGCGGTAATTATATATATATAATTATATATATATTATATATATATACATATATATAATTTTATTCATTTAATTAATTCAATTAATTTTGCAGAGTATTGAAAAAGTGAATTTTTTATTAATCACCATATCGGTTGATAGAGTTACCATATGGGATGTACTTTATTGTAATCTGTTAATAATCTAGAACATTAATTTTTATTTTGCATTGCTTCTTTTTAAGGAAATTATATTTTTGACACTTTATAATTTACAAAAGTTCTTCTGGTACTATATTTAGTTGATCGACGGGTTCGTAAAAGTGCAACAATGACTGATAATGAATCGCTTCGAGTTGTTTTGAATGCCATTTATCACATGGTGGAATCTATAAGACGAAAAGATTTATTTGATTTTGTTATTCCTTCTGATAAAAAAAATTACTGCGCAGAACTGAGGCAAAATTTTATCACAGAAATAGGTTTGTTCTTTATAAATTTTGATGTTTTGTTGTTAATTCTTTTTAGATGTTGCAGCCTTAATGAGAACAAAAAGCGCTAAGATGAGGATTTGGTGAGTATTTAAACAGTTGGAAAGAGACGTTCAAGAGCACATCGAAGATAGTTTTGCAGATGTTGTTTTCATTAATGGCATTATATACCGATAAAATTTAGCAGATTTTATTTTTACCCTTCAATCGAAAGGTATAAAAAATACCGAAGACCAAAGCCGAATCCTGAACGTTTTATAAAGAATAGAATAATTAGAATATAGAATTTTAATTAAGGTTTCAATACAGGATTGCTTATTGGATATGTGACATGTATTAGATAAAATTTTGTTTAAAGAATTAGAGATTTTGAGATTTTTGTGTTGTGTTTTTGAGTATTAGAGATGCCCTGTAACTTGGACATGTACTCTTGTTTTATCGAAAAGTTACTCAGAATGCTTCTTACGGTGTTGCCAAATATTCTTGGGGTGTTCTAGCTAATAGTCATATTGTTTTGGACCACATAATGAATGAATTAAATACTCTTCCATTTAACAAACACTCCATTTATAATTGGCGCGGATACATCGCAAAGTATACATTTTTTGTCGCACCTAGGGATCGGTAAAATATCAAGAAATGACCTTTATTTAATTCCACGGCAGCGAATTGTCTTCAGAGAAAAATTGTTAATTGTCATTGTGTGATTGAGTTAATCTCGTCATCCATCCGAGAATCACAGTAGGTTACGCCGAATAATTTTAATTTTAATGATTGATAGAATATTTGAGGTAATATGTTAGTGTTCATAGGATGCACATTTTTTTTGAAAATTCGATCATATTTATAAGTCTCTTTCTGCCAAAATATAAGCTAAAAAGCATTAATGTAAATTTTCAGCACGACACGAGTGCCTTATCAAAAAAAATCTTTACATTATGAAATTTTGAATTCTTATAATATTTCTTATAATAATTCTTATAATACTTTCCGCCAGCCTATCTTTCCAACTTAGCAAAAATTCCAGAGAGTCCCATGTTTGATATTCCCCCATGTTCTCTGGACTACTTGATTAATATTATTTACAAAAAGTTTGAAGCCATTATATAACACATGACTGCAGAATAATTATAAAAAAGATAACAGTTAAACTAACCTTTCACATTTCATGTCGTTTTTTGTAATTTCTAACAGTTTCTCTCTTATCTCTAATGAAAGAGGAAATTCTTATCCTTATTACTAATTTTATCTTTAATACTAATCTTTTTGCCAATTAAAGGAAATTTAAAGAAACTGAAGTAATCATCGCCTTGTATTCTTCGGTTGCAAAAATTTCTGGAATCCGAAAGGAATTTCGGTTCAGTCTTTATTCCTACCTTTTATGCTTTATGTTTCCAGAGGAACCGATTGAGAATGTCGGTACGTCACTGATCATGGTTTTATTCGAAATGATGCCACCATTTTGCCAAGGAACTAGTCCTCATTTTCCAATGAAGAAGGTATTAGTGATGCGTTTTATTAAATTGAAGTAGAATATATTTTATGAATTTTATAACTGCACTTTTAAGGTACTGTTACTTACATGGAAGATTTTATTAACAATATTGGGTGGATGGAAAGATTTAAGAGAAGCTAAAGCTTCTCGTAGAGCAGCGGAAAATTTACCACCTGTAGAAGATACATTAATGGTCGTAAGTGTTATGAAGGCTTCTTCAATAAATGGTGCTGATTCCGATCAGAATCCAGGTAATCCATTTCATTTCCGAAGCTTATGCTCTTTTTTTCATTCCTCTATATCGCATTAATAATTTTTCATAAATCAAAATTTTCAGCTCTTATGCGACCTAAGCGACCATTGCATTCTCCTGCTCGTCTTATATATCGCCAGTTGGCTTGTACCGAATCACCTGAATCTTCTTTCAAAGAAGATGATGAAGGTAATCATTTCTTTATTAATTAATTTTCATTCTTTTTCATGAAATATTTTTGAGAAATCGAATTTCAGATGAAATGAAGGTCGATATTCTTGAACAAGTAAGCGTTTTAGCAGATATAGATATTGCAACACAACCGAATGATGAATTGAGCACAGATACAACCACCAAAGCTGAAAAAACAGTCACTCCCCCAAGATATGGTAAGGAAACTACAGTGAATTTTGTAATTTAATTTTCTATATAATAAGTTGTAATCGATTTTTTTAATTGGCTGTTCTAAATGGCTATAATGAAATTACTATAATTCTAAATGATAATGCATCTGTTTAATGATTTTTTATTTTTAATGGATGAATTCGATTTCTTAATATAGAAAAAAAGTGTGCAGAATGTAGAATTTGCGAATACTTTTAATATACGTATTTATATAGGTCGCATCTTTACCAAATATTAAATATTCTTAATATATAGACTATACAATATATTCATCAAAATTTTATTCAGAATTATCAAGTCATGATATTTCTACGTCTATGCCAAATTCGTTTAAGCGATCTAATCCTTTAATGAGGTTTGTTAAAAATATATGTATATATATATATATATATATATATCATTTTGTATATAATTCATGCAATTATTAAATTGTATAGAGAAAATTTCTTTAATAGTTCTCTATCTTGTGGTGATCGTACGCCTGTGGCTGGTACACCCCCACCAATGGAAATACTCTTCCGGGCATCTTTACCATGGAGGCCCAAAGTTCGCGAAGAAGATATTGAAGTTTTTTTACAAGCAGAAAGGTTCGTTTCATCGGCTATCTGTCACTGTAAATTTCAATTTCGAATTTCAGATTTTGAACACTAATGGTACGATTTATAAATTATGATTTTTCATCACGATTTCATCATGATTTGATTGACAAAAAAGTTTTTAGGGTGAAATTTTTTGATTATCAATTGCCCGGTGATGTTTCCACTGTTTTCGGTTTACCATTTCCAATTCAGAGCAGTGTTGAAGCTCTTAGGCGACATTTATATGTTTCACTGTGCGACTTGCAGGTGATTTGGTTAAAAAATTGTTCAAAAATTTTAATTCCCAAAATATCTATTTTGCATCTTTTTCTAACATTTTCCACTATCACAGATAGAGTGGTTCTGCTGATTACAAAGGTAATATGGGTAAGATATTTCCAAACTCGATTTTATGCCATAGGAGTAGAAGCCATTCCGTTTTCCATCGTTTTAGTCCATATATCGCTCGCTAGTCCTGTTATACTTTCAAATTCTTTCCTGTCTGTATCAGTTCAGGTATTGATTGGCCCATCTCTTTTCACCATCAGAAGTAAATAACGATGTCAATTCTTGTGGTGGACGACGTACCAGCGAAGCTTTATGATGCTATTATTAATGCAGGCGGTTTTTGAGGCGGATGCAGTTATTTAAATTTTTTTCTGTTCGACGAACCGTTCGGTATATCTTAGACATGATTAGTGAGGATAGAGAGCTCATCCATTCTTATTGGCCGTGTATCGCAAACAATAACAAGATTGGTAGAATACAGCTATATAAAGTTTTGCCTTTATGGTGCTTTCGCGACAGCTCCATAAAAGTTTCGTTAATCGAGGGAATGACTCGTTATCTGGGTTTTTCATCTTTTGCCTGGCCATTTGAAATTAGAATGGATCCATGATGTTTGAAATTAAACTTCCTCGACGCTAATGAACTGATAAAAATCGGTATTTTATCACCCTCTTACATACATGACGAAAAGATTTTGTTTTATTTAAATTGAGTTCCACTAAGCCCAATTTTCGCTACTTATTTGCATTTCGTCAAAACTATGAGAAAAACAATATTTTATCAGCATATTCAAGATCTGTGATACGTTGCTCTGCACTAAATTATACGTCTCTTGACTGCAAGCAAATGGTGTTCGTTATCCAATCTATCGCATAGTAGAGTATTTTAGGGAAAAAGACGAAGCATTGACGCGAGTTCTTATTCGAAATGGGATCTCTCAATTCCCTATGCACAGACCTCTGCCAATGTACGTTGATGAAATGCCTTTATGAGTCGAATGATCTCTATTCATATTCCATCAGCATCCAAAGTGCTGTTCTATCAACTGTTCAACTGAATCGATTAATTTTAGGTAAAACAGGAAAAGAATTTAAATCGTTATTTGTTTTCACAAAGAGAGGTGATTAATGAGAATGCGACAGAAAGATTGTATCGTTTGATGCTGCCAAATTTTAGCCAATATATAATAGCTCTTTTAAAAGTTTTGTTAGCTGCAGCGCCCTCGTCAAAGGTTTTAATTTTTAGCTTCAAATAGAATTTAAGATATGAAATTTGAGTTGTAATAGCAAACAAGACGATAATAAGACAATTTTATTGTTTCTTTAGATAAATTTTACATTCAATTTTCATTATTTTCTGCATGAAGAAATTTCATATAAAAGTTATAAGGTCCAGAAATGAATGCAAAAATAATTTTGTTTTTTTGCTACTTATTTTTACATTTAATCGACTTTTTTGGCTTTTTAAGGCGAAGAGCGATGCAATAAATATTCTATCCGATTTGTTAACACCAGAAACAGATAATAATGAAATTCTTTCGAATTCAATTAATTTCGAAAGCTCATTAACAAATGTGCTTGAACATAGTGTGCGAATTGCTATTGATATTAATAGGCACAAAGAAGTCCGTAAATTTTTTAGCTTAGTGATTTATAATGGAATGGTCTTGTTGATTTTTAATTTTCGGCTTTTAGATAATGGTTAAAGCTGCATCGTCGATTTTAATCCTTCTCTTGAAGCATTTTCGTCTTAATCATGTGTATCAGTTCGAACATCTCGGGCAACATCTAGTTTTCGCAAATTCGATACCACTTATACTAAAATTCTTAGATCAGAATATGGTTCGTTATGTCCAGTCTAAACATGAATTGCATCCATTCAATTATCCTAGAGCACCTCTATATTTTGTCAGAAATCGCGGTAAATGATTTACTTTATTTTTTACTTTTATATCAAAATATCCGTTTTAACGTTTTTAAAGCATGGTTCAAATAATTTTTCAAACACCTTGGAAATTTAATTTTTTGGCTTATTTAGAAGAATGGCCGGTATTAAATATGGACAACGTTGAGGATATTGCTTCTCAGTCACAATCTTATTATTTGTGGCGAAATGTTTTTTCAATAATAAATTTATTGCGGGTCCTCAATAAGTTAACAAAATGGAAGCATTCACGAACTATGATGCTTGTCGTATTCAAATCAGCACCTATGTTAAAACGATCCTTACGGGTAAAATTGGTTAGTTATACTTTTTATTGCCTTAGGTAAGGATGATATGGAGTTGCGCGAAATCGATCTTTGCCTTTTTAAATTATTTATTGTCTTTGTGAAAAGTTATTTTTTTCAAAACATTTACCTTGAATAGCAAATAATTTTTTAGGCTATTTTTCAATTATATGTCTTGAAACTGCTGAAAATGCAAGCACGTTATTTAGGACGTCAGTGGCGTCGTTCTAATATGGAAATTATGTCCGCTATCTACAGTAAAGTTAGACACAGGTATAGATTTATATAATTATTCTTTATTAATACCACTTGGATTAAACATGATGATTCAGTTCGTCTCAAAAATATTTTTTGGTTATATATAACGGTTCTCAATAAATAAAAAATTTGTTAGCGATTATAACAAGAACTTGGTGTTTTTTTTTTTAATTGATATTGATATTGATTTTTAATTGATTTTATTCTTATTCCTCATTTTTTTATTCAGACTTAATGATGATTGGGCTTATGCAAATGAAGCGAGATCAAAATCATGGGATTTCCAGAATGAAGAAGCTATATTGAAAGCTGCTGTTGAGAAATTCAACTCCCGTCGTTATTCCCATCTTTATTCCGTTTTTGCTCTTGGTACGAATTGTATACGAATTTTATCATTCCTTATTTATAAGAAAGAAAGATTTTCCGATGTTTTGTTTATAGCTTATATTTTGCCATTCATGCTGGTCTTAATGTTTCATTTTAAAGTACCGGACCACTGCATGAGCGTAAAAGTACCATACGACGTAAATTACTCTTTATTATATTTCCTAAATTCAAAATATTTACTCTGCAGAACCTGGTGAATCACCGTTGCCTGGAGAAAATTATTTGGATACCACCGATTTACGAGAATATGAGCCAGTTGATAACAGCTATCAGTCGGTTTTAGGCAATAATCGTGATTTAAGTGAGCGGTTTAAACGAAATTATGAACAGTGGGTTGAAGTTGAGGTGATAAAGCGTCATACAGATTGGGATCAGCTTTTGATTGATTCTCGTGGTTTCATTGATGTTGAATGATTGATTTTGCATTTTATATGTTTTTCTTGCGATTTTGCGACATTCATTTGAATAATAATGGTCATTTTGTAAGAAATTTTCGAAATTTGCAAATCCTTTATTCTAATTGTTGGATTTAAATCTAAAAACTTAGTTTCATTTATCGCTTGTTTGTTCAATTTTAGTTAATTTTATGTTTATTTTATATTTTCACAAACTTATTTTTAGTCTCAGTTCGTTTGGGCTGAACTCATTTATCATTTTACTTAGATAAATGTTTTTTGGAATTTTTTATTGGTCAGTAAATCATTTTGAAATGTGTTCATATCTTTAGAGTTAAGTCATAACGTAAAATCCAGATAAGTTTTCGTTGATATTTCACTCGGATATTTGATTCATTCGCAAATAGTTAGTGATCAGCAGATAACTTTTCCTTTCGTATATTGTTCTGGACGATGGGAATCAATTAACAATTTATCTTTATAGTTCGTTCTCTTCTCATTATTTATAGTTACATATCAAAAAACGTGTATTAAAAAAATCTTCATGATTATTCTAAGGCAAATGGTGTAAGGTTAAGATCTCGCTGATTTTATTATGATTGCGAATAGTTCACAAAAATTATTTAGTATTCGAAATGTTTATTTATTCTGAAGATGGCGGGAATGTTATTTATATAAATTTAGTAGAAGAGTGAGGATCTGATAATAATGGGCATTTTTCAGAAACGTATTGTTACAAACAGTATAGGTCACGTTCGTTATTTGTATTACATTTTTTATACCACAGAAAATACATTTAAGTTTTTTTTGTATTTTTAGATATTGGTGGAGAATAATGTTACGAAGACATTTGAATATCGCCAAGCAGATAACTTTTCCTTTCGTATATTGTTCTGGACGATGGGAATCGGTTGTATCGTAATTTCTTCTTTGTTTTCTTTTGCTTTTGACAAAATGACTAGTATTTTTCATCATTTTTATACATTTTTTATTATAAATTGTTTATTGCTGCAGGTAAATCGGGTGATGTATAAAATAAAAAAATAATTGTTATAACAATAATATAACAAATAACAAATAAAAAAATTGTTAAGCGGTTAACTTTTTTCCCAAGTGTTTTTTTTCTTTGCGTCATTTACTTTCTGCTCGTAGCAATAAAATGATATTTAAACGGTTATTAACCGAAAATTTGTTCATTTCTCTTGTAATTTGTTAAAATTATGGAATTCTTTTTCTTAATTTTTTTATTTTTTTACGCTCAATTATAATTTTTTTCAGCGGCAATGAACAAAAAATTTCTGCACGACCGTTAAATGCATCTAACATGGCAGAGAGACTAGGAGATTATGCAAAATTTCATTGGGACAGTAGTGTGAAATCTAATGATCCTGAAGTATATATAGTTTTATTTCCAAAATTTCCCGAGAAATTCTCATTTTTTTCGTGAGTGAAACTTGTGAATTTCGCCTTATTCATTGATATAAAAAATTTTTTGTGCATTTTTTTTCATCGATTCTTCAGTGGTTTTTCTTCAGGTAGTTGAATTAGCGGATGGAATTTTAGCAGGTTCGAGAGCAGCGCTTGCTCAAGGCATAACTCTTCTTCAAGCCAGACATCCTAAAAAACGAGCTCAGGGCAATTATCTAATGGGAAGAATACTTCAAGAAGAAAGAGAACGGTTCAAACAAAAAGGGGCTGATGCTCTCATTTTTCGCATCGGTAGATTATTATTTATTATATTTTTTTTGCAGTCCTTTTGATAAATTAGCCAGTTTTTGTCCATTGTTTTAATATTTTTTAATCATTTATTTTTGCAGGTATATCAGGTAGTCCTGGTGTCGGCAAGTCTTCGTTTATTGAGGCGTTTGGTGAAGAGTTAATAAATAAGGGTAAACGGGTTGCTGTACTTACAGTAGATCCGTCATCAGTCACTACTGGAGGTCTTCCGTTTATAAATATTTATATTTACTATGTTGCATACATTACAAAATACAAAGTTTCGAAGTTAGAAAGATATATTTCTTAAATATCCATTAGGCTTTTAAAAGTTTAGGGTCGTTGTTGGGTGATTTGACTAGAATGCCGAATTTGTCGCGAAATCCTAAGGCTTTTATACGTCAGTCACCATCCAGCGGATCTTTGGGAGGTGTTACGCGTGGTGTACATGAAGCAATAATTTTATGCGAGGGTGCTGGGTACGATATCGTCATTGTTGAAACTGTTGGTGAGTATATTATCCAATTGTCTTTCAAATTTTAAGGCGAATATACTACGAAACTAAATATTAAGATGGAAAGTGATTGGAATTTTAATTCTATCTTTACTTTACATCACAAAAGATAATTTGCATTATGAAGAAGATAGATATTTCAGCGCAATATAGATAGAGCAATGTTTTACTTTAGTTCATTTTTTATCTCTTTTATTCCTTTTATCATTTTTTGTATCAGCCACATATTTCATATTTTGTAGGAGTTGGCCAATCTGAAATCGGTGCGAGCGATATGAGCGATATCTTTTGCTTGTTACTGTCACCAGCTCATGGGGACGAATTACAGGCATCAATTAGAATATATATATCTGTTTCGATTTTTGTGTCGTATACAATGTTTATTAATTCGAAATTTTCTTTTATCCATTATCCGTTTTTTATTATCCATTTTCTATCCATCTTAGGGTGTAAAACGAGGTATTGTTGAACAAAGTGATCTTCTTATCGTTACTAAAGCTGATGGCGATCTAGAACGAAAGGCAACAGCAACTCAAACGGAATATATATCAGCACTAAAGTTCATGCGACCAAGATCGGAAGTATGGCGACCTTCGGTGATTTTTTCTTTTCATGATGAAAAAAGCAGAGCGTAGTAGTACATTTGCCTTGAAAATATTACAAGCTGAACTTACAGTCATGTATCCTCGATAGTTTCTGACAAAATATCACTTTTTTTGTTCGCTAGTCATTGCAAAGTATCAGCAAATGATTGGTTAATTTTTTTTGTCATCATCTTTCATTTTCCAAACTTAAAGATTTTGTAGGTTATGACAGCTTCAATCTATAAACCTGAAACAATCGCCGCGGTATGGCAGAAGATGTCTGAATTTTGGGAAATTTCTTATAAAACAGGTTTACTGTTGAATCGTCGTAATGAACAATTTACTACATGGATGTGGAATCATGTACAGGACGAGGTCATGGCGATATTTCGACAGCATCCCGATATTGTGAATAAGGTAATATTTATTTTAAGCTTCGAGATACTGAAGAAAAGAATAAAAATATTCGTTTTCAGGCCCCTCAACTTGAACGTGATATACGTTTGGGTAATATTACTCCTGGTTTTGCCGCAGAAAATTTGTTACGGACTTTCTTTGGATTTTAGAGAATGAAACTGGCTTGTGCGGTAGTCGGGAATTCGTTCAGCTTAAATATCTTCAGGGACCAAATTTTTATGATTTCATGATTATTTTAAATTTATTGTCGTTTAATTGTGAAATTTATCTTTTTATAACGAAAAATTGATTAAAATGTAATAGCACATGATTTGATTGATTTATGAATTTATTCTTATCGCAGTGTTATCGCAAGCTCCCATGCAAATTTTATTTCATTTTTTCTTAGTTTTTTATTCCATTTTTTCCTTTTTGTTCGAATTATTTCCTTTGTTTCATTATTCATTTACCTGTTTGTATTTGAATTATCTTACCGATTATCTTCATTATCGCATTTTAATTAAATTCTCTTTTTGCTTCAAAATATTTCTTTTATTTACTTCATTTTATGTTTTCATTTCATAGGATATTTTGCGTTAACAATTTTTTATGTAAAATGATGTATATATATTTAGGTATATAATATATATAGGTATGTAAAAGTTTAGAAAATTGTTTTTATTCGTTTAGCTAAATCGTTTTTACCTTTTTTTAAAATTATTGCGTATAGATTGGGCATTTTTTACAAATTTTATTGAATTATTGCTTTAGGTTAATTTATATTGCTTTTTTTCCTTTTTCAAGGTATCGCTGATTAGATTGTTTGAATTAGTGTAAACAAAATATTTACAATAGTAATAAAAATATATTAATTCATAATGCGGCAGATAAACGTTGTACTGTGACCATACCCAGTCGCGTTAAAGGTGATTCGAAAATGATATGAAACAAAAATCCAACAATAAAACTAATTAACGCTACGAAAGGAACGACTGCAATTAAAATATAGGGACTTGTGGCATCTTGCAAGATTTTTAGATAATTGAAGATAAATACAATAGGCATATGCACCAAGTAGACAGAGAACGTCAGTCGAGCAAGGATCATCCACAACCGATTTGACTTTTTCCTGGAAAAAAGATTCGTTTATTAAAATTCTTTTTGGAAATTGTAAGTTATTTTTTTCCGTAGTTTATTTCAATGCAAACCTTTTGTGGATATTAGAAAAAATGAAGATCATCGTTGCGAGGGCTAATGCAAATAGAGTTTGGAATATGGCAGTATATAAGACGTTATACAAGGTACTACCCGACTTCGGATGCCAATATTGAGGCAGAATCCCATAGATTGATGCAAAAATAGCAAATGAAGAGATTGTTAATGACGTGTAGATTTTGGAAATCGAAAGTTTTATATGCATTTGACGAAAGGCTTGTGCGGCCAAAAAGCCTATCAAAAAGGGTCCACATTTAGGAAATGGACGTGAATAAATCTCCCACAGGCCAGTGTATCGACCAGTTGTTGAATTATCAGTAGCCTCATATGAAATGAACTGAAATTATTACTTTTGCTTGGTTGATTAATAAGAGTTGTTGAGAGACTTTATTTGATAGCCCCTTTCGGAATTTCGTTTTTTTGGTAATTTTTTCGATCATTAATCGGACAATAAAGTATTTTCTATTAAGATTATGAGAGTTTACTCGTTTTTCCTTTTTCTTTTCTTCGCTTTTTCTTTTTAGAAAAAAATTCTTGAAAACATTCAAAAAAACGTAGAAGAGGAATTAAATTATCTTAACAAATTCTTCAATGGAAAAATAATTGTAAAAAGTTCACCGGTATGTCGACATCGCTTTGATCACAAACATTGTATAAGACGCAGTGAAATGCTCGGAAGGCCATCGAGAAAACGATCAACGCGAATGATAACAAAATTGCACTGATACGCGATTTATATGCGAGGTGAAATAATAGCGGTGCAATAATATAAAATTGCATATCGAGGCCTGAAATTAATTTCGCAGATTTGCGGTAAAAAAATATAAATTTCTTCTGAATGGGAATGAGAAATAAGTTCTGTGAATTGAAAAATTCTATTAATTTAAAAATTAATTTAGGTTGTCGTTAATTAATTAATTATTTAATTTGGTCGAACAAAAAAGGGGTTTTTTAATATCGCAAATATTTCTTTCGGTCGGAGAATTTTTTTTCTTTAAATGTTTTGTTGTTTTTTTTGAACTTCGAAATTGTTCTATCGTAAATGTCACTTTTTCTATTTCCTGAAGATAGTTTCCACCATTTTATACAATTTATTGGAATTGCAATGCATGCATGCATAAAAACGCCACTTACTCAGGTACCATAAATATCCGAAACATATCGGAGTGGATCGCCAATTAGCGAGAAAAATTAAATGCGATATGGTGCCAGTAAATCCACAACTTGATACGATCGAATTATAGAAGCTAAAATGATAACAGATAAGAGACCACGATTCTCTAAATATGCGAATTCTCTAAATCTCAGTTTGGTATTTATTTATATCCTCTTAAACTAGAATGGAAAATCATTTATTGAAATCAGTTGAAAAATTATATACCGACAATCGCTGACACTTCTATTTTATCCGGTACGATGGTGTTATCAGGCAATATTTGTCAGTAGCCGTCAAAATGGCCTCTATGGGCTGCATGTACTTCTCAAAGTATTTTTGATGGTTAATTTTATGCGGTTTATGGATTATTATAGAATTCTCAGGGTATTGCTTTATGCGAGTGTTTCCTTCTCCTTAACTTTTCCTTTTATATTTTTTCTTCCAAATATTGATTGCACCTTATCCTGTTTCAATCATCGTTTCCTGGTGCATAGGGCCCATATTATTTCCTTAGCCATAAGCGAAACTAACGCCGTATCAGATAAGACAAAATCACTTCTATCACTTGGATCTATCACTTGGATCTTAGGCTTGTCAAATCCTATGTCAATGGGATGAATTTATATTAGAACGCTGTTAATTCGCATGCTTGCTAAACAGTCGAACAATCAAACGAATCAATCAAAAAAGTTTCAAAAAATCATATATATATATATATATTAATTAAAAATTAAAAAATTATATATTATTAAAATTAATAAATTATAAAAAAATTATATTAATAAAAATTCATTCATATGGAAGTGGCATTTTTTCTCTAATTTTTTGTGCCAAAATATATTATAAATATATTTATTATAATATTATAAATATTATCAATTCTCTTGATTTCTTAGTTTTTATTTCTATTTGAATAAAATGCGTAAATGAGGTTTTCATAAAAATTTATTCACTCTTTTTTTGGTTTTTTCATAAATTTTTAAAAAAATGACATTAAAATGAATGTGCATGTCTTATTACCAATAATCTTGTAATAAATTGCTCTTATATAATTTTTAATTTTTTACTTAAATTTTTAAATAATAATAGAAGTAATAACCGTGGAAGGATTCGTTGCATAAATGGACTTGAGGCGATTGCAATAAAAATGATAAGTGATGGAAATATTCGAACCCATCGCTTTGCAATGAATAGGATATAATGAGGTAGAAAGGATTTATTTTCTTGATATGACCATGATATCGAAGCAAGAAAACCGGACAAGACCAAGAATATATCAACGCCGAGACCCGAATTACCCAGTAGTGCGCCAAATATCGGATGATTGTGTATGGAGGACTGCAACAAGTTCAACGATCAAATCAGCATTAAAATTTTTGCTTTTTCAACAATATTCAGAATTTATTTTCCTCATTCATAGTTATCGTCTTAATTAATTCATCAGACATAACGTGAAAAAGCATTCAGTTGAGGAATTCACTGAATGCATTTCATTATTATTCCAAATTTATTACCTTTCTGAATACTCAGGAATTTTTTAAATAATTTTCCAAAAACAATTTTTTGCTAGGTGTTTCTATAGAATTTACAAAGTGCAATAAGTTAAATTTATAGATAGTTTTCTTATCTACCATATTCTTGAGAATTCACTGAAAATTTATTTTTAGTAGTAACAATGAGAATAACTTTAAATATTTCTGCAGAGGGCAATCCCTGTAGGATGTCAAGACGGCCTTCACTCCCTGTGTGATTGATAATTACCCATATTATGGCGACAACTCGAAAGACGTCCAATGTTGTTATATAAGTTTTTTCGATGTTCTTCAAGCCATCTATGGATTTCCGAATGGAAACAATCCCATAATTTGTATTCTTTTTTAAAGATACATATAGCATGAAAGAAATCCATAGAACAATAGTTGATGATATATATTTGTAGGGCGGTAAAAAATCGCTAAAGAATTCATCGCAAGTAAGGTTTGTAGAACGAAAAAGAACCATCGATTCGGCAACAATAACGCTTGGTAGTTCTTCATCCATGATCTAAAATCAAGTACAATCAAAGAAGAAAAACTATCACCACCCTCTTTTCAGCCAATAAACACAGAAATTTAAAGAATAACTCCTGAAAAAAACGAAAAAAACAGATAAAGTAAGAAAAATTCATAGAGATAAAAAAGTTCAAATGATAATTGATCATTGTTTGAACATAAATTTATTTTCTTAGGTTTGGCACAAAAAGGCAAATAACGAGCAAAAAAATTATCTAAAATATATGTAAAGAAAAATTTGAGAAATTTTATATTTAAATTTATATTTTAAATTTAAGTTGATGGATAAAAAAATAAAAAGTACGAAAAAGCAGATATATGAGAACATTTCCTACTTACTTCTTCAAATAACGATAACTGGTTTGGCTAGCAACAATTAGGTCGAAATTATTGCATCATCAGAGGAAGCATTTTGAAACAGCAGGTTTTATTAGGGAAAATGACGATACTTGATTTGCTTCAACCACTCAACCATTTTGTATATAAATTTTTATCAGAAAACTTTCTCCTAATTGGATAAATAAGCAAACATTTTTGCCAAATTTTAAAAAAATAGAGGAATAAGTGAAATTATGAAACTACATAGCATCATTTTCACTTTCATTTCATTATGTAACTATATAATGAAAGTGAAATTATATAGCATCTGTATTAATTCATTGAAAATAGAGAAAGACACACTGCTATAAACGATAAATAAATAAGAAAATTCCTAAAATTTCTTGGCGATTTTTCCATTTTTCTTATTTCTTTTATTAAATATATGGATGTTTTGGAAAATTGTAAAATTTTTACGCCACTGTAGGTTTATTTCCTAATAATTTATAATAATTTTTGAAATTAACATGAAAATTTTGCTAAAGCAGACTTGATAATAAAGCAAAAATACAGAATAATTACTATATGAAATACAAAAATATGTCAGAATTTTTGAATTAAAATTAAGTGAATAAATAATTGGTTAACCACCTGGTTTTCTGCTATTAATAAGATTAGAAATTTTTGGAATATCATTTGGAAGCGTAAATAAAACGTCAGCTGGGTTTTTAAATGATAACTTTGCTCCTGTCCGGAGCAAGAGTCAAAGCCAAATTTTTAGAGCTCAACACTAAATTTGATCCATTCATCGGTGCTATTCCACCACTTCTGAATTAATAGTGATTGCATTTTATTTTATACGGCTCTTTATTTCATAAGAAATTTTGGATTGTTCCTTCCTTTATAATTTTAATATTTCACCAAGGGCTCGCTTGAATATTTGAAAGGCTTTTCGCACCTTTGGTCGATCAAAAAACCAATGTGTAAACTATTTAATTAGAGAATAGTCGTATAATCTCTTATTTGTTTGCCTCTTTAATCACAATTTTTAGTTTTTATTCGAAATATGAAGAATCGCGGTTGTCATTATAACCATGGCTATAGCCATTTTAATTACGAAATTGCAAAATCACAATGGATTTATTTTGGTTCTAAAAGATTATTTTTAATAAAAGGTTGTTTTCTACAATATTTTCTCTATTCTTCCAATTATATTTGAATTTAGCCGTCAAATCGGGAAACCAGTTATTACTGTGATCACTACGAAAATAATAATTTGATGAAACATCAATATTCTGATTAAAAAATGGTATAAAATATCAACTACTCTGCGCGTAAAATGAAAAAGAGTATTGTTAGTGTCGAAAACTGTACTGCGTAATATAAAAATAATAATAATATAATAATAATAATAGTAATAATAATAATAATAAATTAATAATAAATAATAATAAATAATAATAATAAATAATAATAATCTTAGCGAGATCTATAAACCTAATACAAAATCAGCGAAAAATCAGTTTCGCAGTGAAGTTCACTTGGGTTTTTTATTTAGATAGTTTAATTTTTTAATTTGAAAAATTGCATAAAAAATGAATGAAAAATAAAAATAAAGTCTAAAAATTCAGATGAAATAAAATAAGTCATTTAATATAATAAAAATGATGATAATGATAATGAAAATAATGATCTATTTTTTTTGCTTTAATGCTTCAATTATAAATTACAGTTTTTGCAATTATAAATTACAGAATTTTTATTGAATTTTGCATTAACTTTATTGCACTCAATTTGTTCATATAAGCTGGAATATGAATTAATTTCAAAGCCATACAGTAGCGAAGCTCAAACTTTAGAAAAAGTTCTAACAGGTTTGGAAACACCTCAATGTAGTCGCCAGTGAAGCCGAACTAATCACTAATAACTAGCAGTTCGCGATGATAATAGAAAAAAATATCAGAAATATTCTCGGAGATACTCCAAATCGGAAACGACTGCTATGTTACTTGAGGAGCCGCAAAAGAAGATGGCATAAGCCTGTCCAAGTATAAACAGGCTAATAAGCAATACGAGTGACATCGTCGTGATTTATAAACAATCGCAAAATTTTATTCAATGATTTAAAATCTGTCGCTATTACATCAGAAAATGAATGGTATTGTCGGAAACAAATAATTCACGTGAAAAAACTTTACGATTTTATATTTTATTTGTTCACTATGCGGCTTCCATCGCAAATTGAAAATGATCGCAATCAATCGTAACTATTTGTTTCGAATTTACTAATAATTTACTATTAATTATTATAAACTGGAATAAATAAATCGGAATGGTAAAATGGCCTCCTAAACGATACCAATTGATTTCGTTTTAAATTGTCGAAATCGTTTTAAATTAAAAGTGGACTGGAGGGAAACTTTCCTGCCTTGAGAGAATTATGTGCGAGCAAATAACGACGTGGTTGAGCTAAGAGAATATTACTGGAAGATGCCCCACTCCAAAATGCCAATTTTATGGAGCAATTCAAGCTATGGCAACTAGCTGCAGTTTTCTATATTCACAGTACATCAAATAGAAGAAAGAATACTTACTTATAGAACTCAGCATTAATGTTTTCCAATCTTGCTTTCAGGATTTTGAATCACTGTTGAAACTCTCTGGATCACTGTTGATTTCAATACTCAGTTGGCTGACATGGATGAATATCGTTCGCCAATGACATATTGTAATCGCTAGACCCACATTTACGGTTTATCTTTCCTCTAAATTAAGGAAGAAAATCTTGACCATGATTGCAAAGATTGGAAAGATTGTTAGCAGAAGATTGGCTTAAGGTAAATGTCTTTGTTTGCATATAAATAAACAAGACCTATTCCTCCTCGAATCTCTTTATGGGAATTTTTTAAGGGAAAATTTATTCTGAGACAGCCATTGATAACAGAGTTCTTCATCTTTCGATTTTTTTCTAAAAGTTGATTATTCATTCAGATGTTCCTACTCGAGCATTACGCATTAATACAATAAACACCAAAACCGCTAAGTCCTGCCTTTCATTCAAAAGATTTTTACCAGAATTTCTAAATACTAGGAGATCTAAAGGATTCAACTGTCATTTCATAATTGGAAAAAGTAATTGGAAAACGCTTTAAGAAAATATTTTGCTGAATCGTTCTAAGCCAATTAGGCTGGTTTTAGCGAAATCTAAAATCATATTTCGACTTGGATACCTATCTAAGGCTTATTTCTTAATCATTAATGTGCCTCGCTCGTCAGCTTTATCTTCCTTTTGTTCTTTTGCAGTTAGCGCAATATTTATGGTCTCAGCTGCATTTTGCTACGATAAAATTCCCTCTCTTCCAATATTAATAATATTCCATTAATCACATTTTCGAAATTTTTGTCGCATTAAAGAAATGGAAATTTATCAGTGAAATCAAAATTGTTGAATTAAAAATAATCAAATCAAAGACTTTATGTAATTCCTTTTGTTCTGTCACTATTGTTTCAAACAAACTTCAGTTAATCGCGAAAAAAATTCAAAACATTAAAAATTTAAAATTTTTTGTTGAAAAAAAAAAAATTACATCATTGAGGATCCAAGGTTTTTTATAAAGTTTTCGGAACATTTTAACGTTTTACTGTTGCATAAAGAAAATCAAAGTTTAACTGTGAAAAAGCTTTATGGCAATATTGCCAATTTGATGTTTCATTCCTCGATTAGAAATAATCGATGAAATTTGTTTTCGTAACGAGATTTACCAAATCGCAATAACCAGTTTAGAAACAGGAAAATTGAATGGTGTGTTACTGTGGCTGAATTCAAACATTATGGGCTATCGCGTCCGTCGGCGAGAATCAAACTAGCAAAGTGAAATCCGAACAGCACTGGAAATCTTTCCGTAAATCTTTTTAGCAGAAGGATCTCATTTTGTCGGAACATTAAAGTGGAACCAGTCAAACTAGAAATGGTGAATGAAATGAAATGGTCAGAAAAAGAATGATTAGATTATCCGATCAAAAGTGCCAAATAGTTGGCAAGAATTAAGCGTTAATATAAAATGGATAAATTTAAATATCAATCAGCTAGTGAAATCGAAAGGTCGGATCTCAGTGTTATGAATATTATAAATATTTTAATGTTAAAATAGTGGATGATTGAACGATTTGGAAAAAAAGTTTTGAAACATTTTTAAGAAACTGAAAGATTTCAAATAAACGCAAATATTTTTAAATTAAAATAAAAATAGATTTCTACAAAGAACCAAAGGAAGAGCTTCGTTCCACGAATTTATTTATTCTTAATAGAAAATGAAATAACCTCAGTAAATTATTCTATCATTTTATTAAGGTCCAAATAGGTTTAATGGAATGGAGACGAGATATCCGAATGGTTCTTTCTCACGTCATCATTGCCAGAGATTTGGATTAGGCCTTGGATAGAAGCAAATCTGACATCAAAAATTTCGAATGGTAATGCAACCGTCACGTGATTCCAAAAAATTCTCAGAACATTCCAATTCACATTCCAATTTTTTCCTAGGCAGTGGAACAAAAGCTAACCAGAATTAATAGATGGTAACCACAAACATGAGATAAATCGCATGCAGATCTATGAAGATTCTAAAAAACGAAATTTTCCAACAGAATGCAATAGCTTTTTCGTTTTCAAAAATGTTAGGCGAATTCCTCGAGTAACTTCTGCCATTAATTATTTCAGGCTTGCAGATATTTACCATTTGTTAGTATGACTGCTTGCCAGGATTTATTCAGTTCAGTTAATGATCATTCAATTAATAATTTTCGTCAATCGTTTCATCATTCATCAAACTCAATCCCACTGGTCAATATTTTTTGTTAAGATCGCTCTATTTGTTTTCAGCAAAAAGAGAATTTTGCTAAAGAGTGATACGAAATAAAATTAAAATATATTCCTTATAAAATATATAAAAAATGAGAATATTTTCGAACAAAATGATAAAATAATATTTTAAATTATTTTTAAGAGAATTTTAGCTTAAAAATTGAAAAATGAGAATAAAAATTCAACAAAAAGCAAATATCCACTGCCATTTTTTTAATAATTATGCTAATAGTTTTTTCCCTCTCTAAATTTTTTTAATTTTTTAAAATTTCATGCTATTTTGATAAAATTAAAAATCATTTAAAAATATTAAAAATCATAAACAAAGTAAATAAATAAACCAATAAAGTAAATTAGTTAAAATTATGTATTAATCACCTGTATTAATAATGTTATCATAGAGCCTCGTCTTCGCTGGTTATGCATATTCTACGTCGTCCACCAAAGGGGATGACGCATATTTCATTATTTGCTAAACCCTGTGAAGATTGGCGTCAAAAGCGAGGAGGGCCGGTCAAGACCTGGACTGATACAATCAGGAAAGATTTTGAACGTTTAAGAATGTTAGCAATATATGGACTTAGACGATGGAAATAGGATTGGCTTCTATTACTATAAGCTATGGCGTCGGACAAGCAACTTGAAGACGTCTTACCCTTATAGCCAGCGGAGCCAGCCTAACTTGTAATGAGAGCTATTAGAAAAAGTCAAAATTATAACAAATAATTTATTATAGCCACATAATTTTAACTCATTAAAATTGCCTTTATATTTATTTTTACAGTATTTTCAAGTGCTCATTAACGCACACTTATTTTATAGTTTTTTAACGATCGATCTAATGAAACCTAATATTTTTACTATCTAAAAATTTAAGGAATTTTTGGAACTTATAAGCTTTGTTCGAATGCGGTAAAGCACTATAGGTGCTGCTCAAATGAAAAATGAAAGCATTTATTGTAAATGTTTAATAAGAGAATAAAGCTTATAGCGAAGCTGTAAATTAAATCTAAATCTAAGTTTGCATTACTTGACTTCATATATCAAAGAGTGCTATTATTTTTCTGTCACCCCCTAGATAACTAGGATGGTGCTTGTCACGACATAGAGACCATAATTTGTTGTATATGTAGTGAGATTCTAATAAGATTCCAAGATTCCAATAGCCACTGTTTTTTTAAGTATTTCTCTAAAAAGATGTTTCTTTCCAAGTACCATATTAATCAGAATTCATCTGAATCTTTTCTTCCAGAATAAGATAGAAGATAGTTTTTTCTTCTGATACTCTTTGGAAGATTATTCTTTATTAGAGCTGGAAATTAACGATGGATCAAATCTGAACTGATGATTTTGAAATCTCTGAAAAGTTTTCCAACGAACACTGAAGATCGATTGGATCTTTCCTGTAGAAACTTTTTTGCCGACAATTGCTCATGAACTTAAAATTTTGTTTTCTCCGTATCGGTTGTTAAACATTTCTCAAGCCTCTTCATAGTTTTTAACTGGAACCTTTCAATCAATTTGAGAGCTTCTCCATTGAGAGTTTAAATAAAGCGGTTTGCTAGTGAATTAGAATTACGAAGGAGATCCACTTTTGTAAGTCTCCCGAAAAGACCTATTACCTAACCCGGCAAGTAAGACTTCGATTTTTCGCAGATAACAGGCTACAGTCCGAGTTTAGAAAGTTGAAAGTGTTCATTTCTGTGGTATTTCATTATATTTAGAAAATCCTCGATAATTCATTGGATAATCCTTAATAATTCTTTATCATCCTCCACGTACTCTCCTACTCTTTCATTTATATTCTACGATATACTTACTCCCAAGCCATTTACTTGCCAAATTTTTTGCGATATTCTTTAGTCTTTTCTATGATATATCGGCTTAAAGCTGTCGATCCTCACAATATTCAGTAAAATCTTCACTTGCTAGATGCCCTAATGCGAAGGATCTCAAATCTCCTCAGCTACTATCTTTTTAATCATTTAATTTAAGAAAAATTTGAGAGGGCTCAATAATCGGAAATGAATGACAAGGAAATAACAAAGAGAGAAATTCAGTATAGTACAATATGCAAGGCAATAGGCAGAAAGGCCGCAAATAAAAATGATAAATGGAACCACAGTTGGTGGATTTACAAAGGATTGCAGGAATACCTTATAAAATGGCTCCCAAAATGTGATGGTCGAAGCTCACTAGGGATTGAATGAATGGGCGACTAATTAGCGTATTACAAAAGGACATATGTGAAAGTGCAAAACTGGATTAGCATTTTACAAAATACATTGCAAAATTAGGTTAGCATTCCACAGACCAAATTATTATAAAACGATTATTTATGAGGGGTTCCCCTTGAGGGCATCTCGATGGTTATTGCAATACAGTCAGTAGTTGAGTGGGCAAGTCCATTAATCGAATGTTTTGCTATGCGTGTTTGGAAGGTCTTGGAAAGGTCTTGGAAACAATTCTCGACACCTCATTATCGGCAATAACCGACAATTATTTTTATTTTATTTTGTTAATTTACTATTTATTAATTTCATCATTTATTAATTTCTTCCGTTAATAATTTTCACTGCAAATGCATCATCGACCAAAACTATTAAATCCATCATTCATTCATAAAATTACAGACCTTCAATATTTTTGAAAGAAAAACTGGGATTCGGAAGAATTTTGTTCTATTTTAATAATGAATTAAATATTAAATAATGCTTCCTTTATAAAAAATAAGTTTTTAGAAGTAATTTGAAATAAATTTTTTGGACTTGATTTGCACTCCGATTTTTTTAAATAAAATTTTCGCAAATTTGTATTACTTTCATGTTTTTGAAATTTAGCTAAACGCTATTTTCGTTGCAAAATTGTTCCATTAATGCGATATTGTAATTAAAAGTACGCGGCTCAAAGTATTAGACTCGCTCCTCTCCAGTAGAAATTTTTGTCACTTGCCTATAAAAAAGCATATGAATCGCTGGAACCACGTTTTCCTTAATTCTTCGGAAAAACCTTTACTTCGAATCAGATGCAGCAACCAAACTCTTATCGTCTCAGCGCAGTACTAATCCACAAGCCGATCCTATCTCATAATGTTTACGCAATTCTCGGTGAGCCCACACATAGCAAAGTAAAGTTTATGATATCATGATATGATATGATATTCAATTCTACTTTGCTCTACTTTGCTCGAATAAATTTTTTCAAAACGGCAAAACGGCACAGAGAAGAGTTCATTTAATTTTATTCCACGAATTCCTAAATTTTTTCATTTAATCTTCGTAACCTTTAAGAAATCTTTGAAGGGTACTGAAGAAGTCAAACATCAAAAAATTCCACAGGAAAAATTAGAAATGGTTTATGAGAGAAAATTATGAAAAGCAACCGAAAATGTGAATCGAAGCCTTTTCTTCTTTTATACGCACAAAACCTTCGCTATTTCCCCCTCGGTAATGTTGCTCCACAAAATTATCACTCTCCAACTCGCTGCAAGTCCGGAAAGTGGGAAAGTAATTCCCACCGACTTTTGGGAAAAGAATTAGAATAAACGAGCTCCGACGTAAATTTATAGTCGAGTACTGCAAATAAATATGCCGATATTTAACTAAGAATAACACATCAAAAAGCAAATTACTTAACAATTTTTTCATTCGTACTATCGATTACAAAACGATTTTATCTTTGCACCTTCCGCTTCCGATAAACTAAATTTATTTACGAAGACGTTTAAACTGATAACAAATCGATTAATTGCTTTCTGATTATCACTTTTTATTTTACTCTTTTGAATAGTTTTTTTTATTTTATTAATGCAAATAAAATACGCCACCGACCTGCTGCTGCATGCATAAATAAATAAATAACTTATAATAATCTGTTTGATCTGACTTAAAACACTTCGTGACGATGAGATAATGAAGAGCGCGAAGATTCCAGAAATCGCCTCCACGGTTTTTTAAACTTCGGAGGGCCTTATGGTCACTAATGTTAAGAACAGTGCTAGGCCGGTGGGTAATATACCTCCACCCCTTCAAGGACTGTTCCACCGCCTCAAACCGAAAAGTCCAACAATTTTTATTTGCCTGCCGAGCACCATACAAATTAACCGGATTGCTAATAAGCAGTCGGCTTGGCGAGTTCAGTGCTAAAAATCGGTTGCGATCAACAGATGTGCTGGTGCCATTTAAAGATTGTTTTGGTAAAAACATTATTTCTTTTGGTGGAAAATGGTGTCTTCGAAGTTGCGATTTGCGGTAAGTTGTTCGAGTAATATGAATCGAAGTATGGAGGCTCATAGCTTTCTTCAGTTAGTTTTTATTTTGCTTAATTCTTGTTTTCCATGGAATTTTGAGCAGAGAAATTCTTACATCTTTACTTGGCAATATTTCTGAATATTTAAGAAAGTGCTTTCGTGTTTTTAAACAAATTTTTATTAAAAAAGACGACTTAAAAGATCAATTAATTATTTGGGAGCAGTTTGGTTATATGTTATGTTGTTTCGAATGGAATTAAGCATAGTGGATTCGATTCCTTTAGTGGGAGCAAATTATCCACAAAAAATGGAGTCCGCGCGTTGACGAAGACCCACCTACATTTCTGTCACCAAATGGCTCTCTGGCAAAAGGGTTTTATCCTAATAATATTTTATGGTGCCAAACTAAGAGTGGTGAGCATTGTTATTGAAGGAGAGGAATAAGAATTTTTTATTCTTTTTTAGATTTTAAATTTAATTAAAAACGAATTTTGTTGAAAAAAGGGAGCGGCTAATTATTTATTTGTTGATTTAGCATATTTTCTTATCAACTTTTTCTTATTTTGCTGAATTTATCGACTTCTTTGACATTTGACATTTTTTTCACAAAAATGCAGCGTTTGTGCTCAAATGCAACTTTTAATCGATTTTTATACTCAAAACAAAAGATATTTTTTATTAGCTATAAATTTCCTTCTTATTTTTTGATGTTTTTTGTTTTTGCATTGAAAAAAACGTTTGTTGTGATAGTAAATTATGATAATAAATCTAAATTTTTATTTCAGGAAGCGTGGTTTCAACGTCGAATCTTTTGGATCCGGAAACCAAATAAAATTACCTGGACCATCGCCTGATCGTCCAAATTGTTACGAATTCGGTGTCGCAACGTATGAATATATTTATAATGACCTTAAGCAAAAGGATCGCCAATTGTTAGTTTTCACCCATTATTTTATGGATTTTTAGTTAAATCTATGCATTTCATGCTTGAGGGCATTCGAAAATCATTGGTTATTTATGGTTAGCTGATATGGAACTCATCTATAAAAACGTTATAGAAATATCGAATCGGTTCAAATATTTTTTTTATAGATTCATTTGTTTAATCCGTTTCATCGTTAGTCTTATTTACTGTTGGTTAGATTAGATTTGTGGAGTTTTAACAGAGTTCACAGTGATATATCGGACTTTGATAAAAGAAATTCCAACACTAAAGTCACATTGTCTGAGATATTATGATTCAAAAATTAAGATTCAAATATTTCAGTAAAGATTTCAATAAATTAGAATCACATCAACAGAAATTATTAGATATGTGGAAAGTTTGTTAATAGTGGGAAATCTTTATTGAACCTTAAATCTTGGATATTAAATCTTTATTAATGTGGTAAATGGATATTAAGCTATTTGCCTGATGGTAATTATATGGGCTCAAAAGATTGTATACAAGTCTCTTTCTAACATTAATTGATCTGTAATCTGAATCATTTATGTCTTTTTAGATAGAAATCATTCCTCTTGTGGTAAAAAATTGCTTTGAATGATTTCAGATATACTCAGAATGGATTACTTAACATGCTTGATAGGAATCGTAGAATAAAAGCAATGCCTCAGAAATTCCAGCATTATAAAGGAAAATTTGATGTTGTAATTTGCCTCGAAGAGAGAGTTTATGATCAGGTCAGATTTTAAAGAATACAATTTCATATTCTATAATTCTTATCGAAGTCTTTATAAATTTTAATCATAATTTTTAAGGTGGTAGAAGATCTACAAACACGCGAAAGTTTTGATGGTGATAGTGTTCATGTAATAAACATTGATATTCAAGACAATCATGAAGAAGCTACCATTGGCGCTCTTTTTGTATGTGAGCTTTGTTCCAGGGTATGTTTAGTAGTTTTTCCAATACTCCATTTATTTAGTGAATTCTTTTGTTTAGTTGGTTGAAACCCTTTTACCTATTTAAAGCTGTCGGTTTGAAGCTTATACTTATTATATAAATTTGTAGTTGGAAGCTTGTGAAGATTTGGACAACGAAATAGATGAAATACTGATTGAATTCGAGCATAGCAATCCGAAGCGCAATATCCTTCACACAATCTGTTTCTATTAAATATTTCTATTTTATTTTTTTATTATGAATGTTATATTATAAATGTTGAGTTATGATTATGATTTATTTACAAATGAATTCATTGTATCGAACTTTGCACATGTCTTTCATTATGCTTTAAATGCTTTTTATGGGCCAACTTTATTTAAATACGTGGGAAGTTAATAGATTGGTATTTAATCGTAGCCGTTAATTTCTTTTACCAAATTTATTTTCTCATATTTTGAGTGTTTTGAAAGTTTTAATATCGAGAATTTTTCTTCAGCTTGTTTGATTCATATTGTTTATTATTATTTGTCAAGTTCAATTTATTTATTCATATTTATTATAGTTTTTTTCATCTTCATTGTTTTTGAAGTTATATTGTTATTATATTGTATTTCTTTTAGAATATTTTAATTAAACTGATTAGAATTAATTCGTAGAATAAAGAAAAGAAATGATTTTTTTTAGATACAATAGATTATTTATCATTAATTTTCATTGGAGTTTAAAATTAACTTCATACAATGTTGGGAAAAGGTTATTAAAATTCATTTGTTATATTAATTATTAATTCAAGATGGTGAAGCAAATTTTAAAATTGCTTTTAATTATGGATGAATGGTATTTCTTGGGGAGGAAGTTGGTCCACAAAAGAATCGAAGCTTAGTAAAGAGCTCATGTTAAAAATTCTAATAATTTTTGAGATCTCGATTTTTAAGGAGTCATCGATGCAAAAGACTTATTATCTAGCCCAACGCCACTTTTTTGGAGTTATTTGGAAGCACACTGCGACGACGAGTATTATGAATTTTCATCCACGAAAAATCAAATCACACAGTTTTTAACAAAATCTCAGAACTGAATTCATAAAATGATCAATAAACCAAAATTGAAATTTTTAACAAGCAGTTTCAAAAAGAATTTGAAAATTGGCTATGAAATTTAACTTCATTTGGTAGTAAACATTTTTGGTCTGGCCAGCCCCACAAAATTGTCTATCGTTAGGGTAAGGACTTTTGGCAGAGAGTCACTGTGGATCGCACACGTTTCCAACCGAGGGGTTCTACTTTAAATAGATCTTTCAAGGAATTAGAACAATGATGCTCGACGTTCGAAGCAGCATAGCATTAGAACTGGCATTCGATCATCATTAGAAGAATCATTAGTGGAAGACTAATTTCAAAATTGTAGTAATCATTTCCTGAAGAAAACGCTGTTGAGAGAAATTTTGGTTTGGCTGTCATTCATTATATTATTTTTTACTATTGATTTAATTATTATTATTGTCATTATTGCTTATTATTTCCATTTATTATTATTATTATTTATTATTATTACCTTTTATTGTCATTATTAATTATTATTACCGATATTATTATTATCAGTATTACTGTATTTTTTATTTATATTATAATCGATATGATACAGAATGGCAATTATCATCCATATTTTTTAGTTTGAAAGGAAATTCTTTTCTCATTGAAGTTTCTGATAATTTCTCATCTTATTGGTAAATTTATGGTGAAAAATCATAAGAAAAACTTTGTTCTGCTATATGATAACCACGCAGAGTGATAGTGGATTGTCTTCGGCAGAAGTCAATCAAACCATTAAACTGTTAAAAAACCCGGGTGGCATTGGCGACCCAGACTTCTGCAAGCAAATGCAAAATCTTCCACAAATTTCTAATCGTCCTAGCAATCAAGCTAATCAAACTTAAATTAATATTCAAATCGCATATTTCGTTTAAATTGTTTTTATTGTTTTTCTTGAAATTATATATTTTATCTGAAAAATTTATTTGGAAAAAAAATAGAAATTAATTGGTTTCAACGTTTTATGAAATTATGAAGTTCATTTTTCTTTTTTTTTTAGGATTTACAATAATGAATGTTGAAGAAAAATTTTATGGTAAATATTATAATAAAATGAGTTGATTTCATTTTCATTTGTTTAGTACGGAAAAGGTAAAATTGAAAAATTTTCACACTTTAGCAGTTGGCTTTGGTTGAAATTTTTTTGAGCTTGAGTTAGAGCACTTCGAACTGAAAAGAAATCTGTAAGTATTATTTGCAATTTATCACGCAAAACTTCCCAAATAGGATAGAAATATATTCTTCAAATTTCAAATTTCCCAATTTCGAAGAAAATGTTGCTAAGGAGTTTTGGCTATCATTCATTATTATTTTTTATTGTGCTGTTTGTTCATCTTGGGTTTCACCGTTTTTGGTTTGGCTTAGTCCATTGGTTACTAGCGTGAGATTCACACTTGGACCACTTGGAGACAGAAGTGACGTGAAGACAGAAATGCAGTAAGAGAACCTGATTGAATATTTGTTTAAAGCTATAATTAGTCGCGCTCCCTAATAATTCTGCAAGATTACCTGTCGTTAAAAATCCGTGTTAGTGATAATGTAGGTGGCTGTGCAAGTGACATTCTTTTAATCCTATCCTTTATGCTTTCCTGTAATCCTTTCCTGCAAGCAATAACTCCTTGGGCAAAATTTCTTATTCTTATTGCTTATTAATAATATTCTCATTAAGTCGAGAGCGCATAACCAAAAGTGGTGAGCGAGTAATTGCTTATTTCTATAATTTTCAATATTCTTTGAATTATTATTTTATTATTGTTATTATTTTTGAGGATTTTTCAGCATTGTATTGAAATTTTTTTCTTTAAGCGGCTGTTCACGGTTAAATTTAGCTTTTCCTTTGTTCTTTATTTTTTCGTTTTTTTCTTTCGATAGATTAATTAGAAGGATAGAAAGGATTCGGTCGAAAGCTTTCACAAACTTTTTTTAAAAAAAGGCAACTAATTTCTTCTTGCAAAGAAAAAACCTCTGCGTTTGTTTAAGTTAATGTTTAATTCGTTCCTCGCATAGATTTTTATTATTCTTTATTAGAGAGATTTGATGCTTCTCTTCAATCATTTATTGACTATAAGTCAGCAAATAAACCATAATTGAACAGTTTGTCTTTCGTTCTCAATAGGGCACTAAACCATTTGTGCCTCAAGTGACTCTCTCGCGAGGTCTTCGTGCCCTACAGCCAGAGTCTTGGCTAAGGCAGAAATGTAGACGATGTATTGTTTTAACCTTTATTGGCCTGAGCAATTGCCTTTTGGTACCGAAGATTCATCAACTCAAATAGCTCTCGCGCATGGCTTTGCTCCTATTCTAATAGTGAGTGGAACCAGAAATGCTAATGGTTGTTAGGAAAAGATGTCAATTTCCAAGTTTTCTTCATCGCTGTGCCTAAAAATAAATAAAAAAAGTCATAAAATTACCAATCTCCTATTGAAGATCGAAAAAAAGAACTCCGTTTGTTGAGTTTGGAGTCATATGCGTTTTTTATGGTTTTGTTTGACTATTTTCATTCAAACTCCATTGCGTGCATTTCTTCCGTTACTACATTGGCAAATTTGTTATTTACCAACTTTACTGGCATATTGTTATCCTTTTTTTTATCGCTTAACGCTTGTTTACAGTTCACTTATCAATCCACACTCTTTTGCTTCTAATCATATTTCTCTAGAAACATTACATTATTTAAGTTAAATTAATCAATCTAATTTACCGGAAACTCACTAATAATAACAAAAAAAGAAGAAAATCAGATAAGTTTTAGGAACAAACACACTCGTTTTTGTCATTGAAAATTACCAATATTGTATTTCTTTTGTTGTCCGAGCATTCACATTTTAAACAATCGAACAACGTTTCATTTTTTTCAAATCGCTATATCTTAATGATAATTAGTAAGTGAGTGGTTGGCGCTCACTATTTCTGGCTAACTCAACTGGCTGTTAGTAGAGAATCACTTGGCGATAGAAGCACAGGTTTCTACCTTTTCCTGGATTTTTTAATGGCAGATTTATTCCTGCCAAATGCAGGGCCCGAATCCTGGCGCTCCAAACAATGAGCACTTGGCTTGCCCACCTTCAGCAATGAAACTAAATAGGCATGCTAAATAGAATTTTTCTGTATTTATTTTTGAAGTTGATATTATTTAGTAAGTTTGCTTTGATCATTTCATTATTTTTCATTTTTAATTACTGGCAATTTGAAGACCTATTTTTGAAAGCACCAACTAGACCTCTCGAATGAGGATTTGTCCATATTTGCTACTTTTTTTGTGTTTACCCAATAAGCTGAACCTTTTTTTACAAAGGAACTTTAGAAAGTTCGAAGTAGCAATCATGATGGTATGAGATAGCGAAATAGTAATGGTAAAATGGTGAATTAAATAGCAATACCTGGTGAAAGAACGAATTAAGTGGTACAAGTGAGCCTAACAGTATCGACACCCGTTCGTCCACATTATATGGTACATTCTTAACGGCTTGCTTAATCGAGCTTCATTAATTGCTAGTTACTGTGAAGCTTCCCATCAGATCCTCGATTGGGCCTATAATGAGTGGTGAGTATTCTTTGTATTTAAGTTCGAAATCACTAGACAAAATACTAACTGGTAGGTTTTTTTTCGAAGAAAAGACCATCTCAACACTTTTTTCTTGCGAAAATCAACTGTTTTCCTCCATTTTTTTCAAGGGGTTATGCGTTATAAAAATGACTCGAAGCCAGAGTTTCATCTTGCTTTTGTTTTCTTTTTCACCTAATTTCTATTCTATTAATGATAAAAATTTCAGAAAAAATATTGTCGTTTCCCATATATAATATGTCATTCTTTTTGGTGACTTTTTCGTTTCGTTAATATTTTAAAATTTTCAAATCTTTTAAATTATCGCATTAAAACAACGATAGGAAAGTAAGGTAATTGGGAATTCTCCTTATAATAATTTTTGTAATTTTGATTATAATTTTGGCTGCAAATGCTTTCTTAAATTTGTACTTACACATTTACACATACATTTGTACTTATACATACATAACACTTATATCATCGAAAAGTATGTTATTGCCATATTATTACATTGTTATACGTATTAAAGTATTAAGTATAAAAATAATAATTAACAATTACATAAAATGATAAATATTAAAATATTACATAGAATACCATAATTGTTAAAGATGTTATCTAATATATTCATAATATAATATATTAATATATAAGATTTTATCTAATACAAAACTACAGAATAATTAAATAACAGAAATAAAGATCTATGTGGCGGGATAGCCGAGTGATTGCTCTTCAGATTATCGCTTGAAGCAGTAAGGTTCGAATTATGAAGAATAAATTTGCTTTTATAAATACGGAAAACTGAGGAGCCGCCTGTATTTCTATCCCCCAAATGCCTTTCTGGTAAAAATTTCTCATCTATGAACAATGAGTAGAGCGAGTTTAACCCAGGAATAGTTTCTTATGTTAATTGGGCATTTCGAACCAAATATTTTGAAAAACGCTTTATTTTTTATTATTTAAAAAACGAATTTATTTTTTTTTTGATTATTCAATCTAAAAATTTGCTTATAAATTTTCTCTTTAATTTCTAATTGATTTTATTAATATTTAAGTGAAATTATTCGATTAAATTGAATAAAACTCTCGATATTCATTGAATATTGAAGCCGATTTTTTTCTATATTTTATTATTATTTTCTATAATTTTATTTTTTCTCACTTTTCTTATTGCACTTTCAACAATAGCGTGAAAAACTTTCCTCATTTTTAACCTTATCGAAGAACTTGTTTTTTAAAATAATGACAAAATAACAAAAATAAAAAATTTGCAGCGTTAAATAAACATTGAATTGTCTTCTTTTAGAAGTGATCGTTATTTAAAAAGCAAAATTTTGTTTAAAATTTCCTTTATAATATTCCACCTCAGTTGAGCATTATTTTATTTCATGTAAAAATCAAGCAATGTAATGAATTCGATCTTTTTTGTGGCAAAAATGAAATTTTTAGTCGTTCTGGATTTGAAACGCAGTAGTACGTTGAGTAATTCGAGTGATGTTGAGCAATTGTGGTTGTGATTCTTGTCTTTGACATGAGCAAACTCATCATTAATAGTGAAATCTAGGCGATGTTTGTGATTCTGCTATTATCCCTCAATGATCCTCTGTTATAAGTAAAAACCTTATCCTGACAGTGAAACGAGCCAAATCAGAAATGGAAAAAGCAACGAGTAGCTTGGAAAATAGCTTCTGCCGCCAAAATAAAATTTTAATTAATTTTAATGTATTTAAATTTTAATGTATTTGTTTTTTTAAAATACAGTTTTTCGTCATACTATATCGCATCGAGTAAACGAATAAAAAACTGTTCATGTGGAAATCGCATAGCAACCATAAAATAATTTTTTTATCTTATCTATAGAAGTTGAGGATAAAAAATATTTCTACAACGCAAATTCTTTTCTTTACAGTCATTTTTTTTAAAGCCATTTGTGTTGATAATTATTATAAACGAAAATTTTATCTTCTTTTTCAATTTTTAAAAGTTTTTGATTTATTTGAAGAAATTTTAAAAATTATCATTTTTTATGAATGCAGTAAGAATATAATTAAATTATGTTTTTTCGTCATTTTAATTTTTAATAATCTCATTTTTTTCAATAAAATTTTTCAGGTTTTCTATTAGATTCTATTAGATTCTAAAAATGGCTTTCGAAGGAGAGCAGTGCAATACAGTTGGTTTGTTATTTTCATAAAACTTTATAAAGCCTCAAGATTTTTTCAGAAAATTAATTTTATCAATCGATTTCTTAAGGTTTTTTCTTCCTGAACATCTATCAGCAATAAAAAACGCATCCATTTTGATAAATGTTATCAATCTTCCGTTTAACAAAAACATTCAGCATGAATTTTGCAATAAATTAAATTTAACAATTGTTAGGCAATTTTATTGAAAATGAAACTTCAAAGGCCTGAAATCACAAAGACTTAAGACTTCTTCTATTCGAAAATGCATGAAATTATATTAATCTTATTTTGTTTTTCTCGTAACGGCACACACCATTTCTGATTCCGCAGGCTTTATTGGCTATTTAAAAAAAGCTTTGCCACCAGAGAATCACTTATCTTCATTTTATCTTTATTGATAACCAGCCAAGCAAGGCGACATCGCCATGTGCTTGTATTAATAATAATAACAATAACAGTTAAAATAACAGAAAAAGAAAACACAAAAAAAAAAATAACATAAACAGAATTAATTATAAAACAATATGACAAAAATTAACAATTTAAAGAGGAAATTACAGATCAATATAATATAGTACAATTCGAAGTAACATATATAACCTGAAGATAAAATCGAGGTTTTTCACTTTCTGCAGTTCTTGCCTGGTGTAAACTCTTCTCTCTTTTTTTTTTAAATAATATCGTAAATTATATTATCTAGTCTTTTTTTAAAGACAGCTAAGGATGACGCACAAGCTACATCGTTCGGTAATTTGTTCCAGTAGTTGTTCCAGTAGTTGTTAATAGTACGAATAATGAAGTCATGAGTGAGTCATGCACTTGATAGAAGTACAAGTAAGCACCATGTGAATTTCACTTTTAACGAACTTACATCTTAATTTAAAGGACAAGTGCATCCCATGATGTTTGGGTTCATAAGCCACTCGAATATTCATTAAAAATAATTTAGATGAAGTGGCCAAATATAGTGACAATCCATTTCGCCGAAGCAGAAAAGTCGTGAAAGAATTAGATGCTGAAATCATTAAACACGTTGGCTTATTTAAATTTAAACAATTATTTGCAGGTTAAAATCTATATTTATGATTTGGGAAGAGAGCGACAGTATGACCATTTTATTTTTAACAGATTTTTTGTTCTATTTTCATTCGATAAAAAAATTAGTTTAATAAGATAAATCAAAAAGCTGAAAGCTGATTAGTACAAATACAATCCATGGATATTTTTCTATAGGTGCTGATCAAATCAATAAAATTATTAACTTATGATACTGATGGAGAAAGTGAACTGGACAAAATCATTGAAAGTTCTCTGGATATTTTTACTAAAGTATGGAAAAAACGTGATATTAATTCTGAAATCGCTTTTAAGGTCATTATTTTCTTACTTTCTTCTTCATTCATGTTTATTTTACAGATTTTAGGGGATATTTTATATCATTGCTATTCTTAAAATTATATTAAATTTGCCTCATGGAAAGAAATGACTTCTTAAACTTTCTCACATAAATAATAAAGCATCACAACAGGGTCTTTTAACTATATTGGAGTATTCACTGCAATTGTCAATAAACAATTATGCTTGCTTTGAGAAATTCATAAATGCGATTGGTTACAATTCAGTGCAATTCTGGAAAAATGCTGTTCCATATGTATTTGATTCTGACCTAACTTATGGAACCAAATTTCGTGATTCTTTGCTATTCAATCTGACATTATTTGATGTGAATAATGGGACGAATCGTCTTCGGTAAATTTTTTTTATATTTTTACTTGTAATTATTTTGTATTTTAATTAATTGTATATTTCGGAGCCAGCTTTTCATCATCTTTATTTGGAATGCGAATTTTTTTTAGAACGATAGAACTTTTTAGAGAATTATACGCATCCGTACCTGGCATACGAAAATCTCTTCTGGGTGTACATGCAAAAAGATTCGGTGAACGGTATCATCATCTTCAGCAACGAATGTTTCATCGGGCAACATCGATATCAGTATCGAATGATTCAGTTTTTAGTGAAACTGAGAGTGGCAGTGATGATAATGAAGAAAAAACGCAAGCTGGTCGTAGTAGATGTAAGTAGTTTCAAGAAAATATTTGACGACCATTTGTTTGGTTTGAACAATAATTTGATGCTATAAAAATTCTAAAAATTCGACGAACTAGAAGATACAAATTTTACGTTTACGTTAGGTGGAATAAGGATTGAATGAACAAATTACAAAAAAAAATGGTCACTGACAAACTAATTATGCAAATTTTAGCGTCCACAACTCGCTTGTATCGACTCCAGACGTCTTCTCGACCGAAGTTAGGGCTATCGGAATCGAAAGACGATTCATATGAATCTGATGAGAAAGCAGATTCAGTGGAAACATTCGCTAGTGGTGGATTAGCTCACACTCATTTTCAGGTAAGAAAAAACCAAAGAAATCGAATTGTTCACAAATTACAATTTGCATAAAAATCTTTGAAAAAAAATGCTTAAAAAAATGCATTATGTTGTAAATGATTTATGTTATTAAGAACCAATTAACATTTCTATAGTAAAAAATCTTAAAAAATCTTACAGCAACGAGTGATTAATGTGTCGAATGCTCCACCTGTGAGTTTAAAACGAGAGAAATCAGGTGAGTGGGAAATAAAACAAGGTTCCGGAGGACTTATTTCTTGTGTAGATCCTGTAATGTCAAAAGATAAGGAGAATGTTTGGCTTGCAAATATTGGAATGAATATTCAAAGCAATCAAAGGTAATGTGAACTGCAAATTTTAATTATTATTTTTTTAATTATTATTTGTTTGTAATTTCACATAATACCATGCTGTGATTATTTATTATTTTGCGACTGGATGGAACTTTTAAATTTCGAGGCGAGTAAGTAAGGTGTTATCATTAATGGATAAAAATCTTTTAAATAGTCGAATAAAAAGGCGAATGTAGGGTTTCGAGTGAATTTACAGGGCATCATTTCACGACTGTTTCTTTTTTGTTCGGAGAAATAGAACTATGCAGAATTTTTAACCGGAAGGATGCAGTTGTAGCCATAGGGAATAGCTGTGGTCCAAATAGCAGTTTGTTGGTTAAGAACTGTTAACTGTTATGAAAAAAAAAACTGTGAATTCGGATAAGTATTTATTTTTGAAAGTCTAAATGAGCTCAGTGTTAATAATGAAATAAGCTCAGTGTTAATAATGAAATTTATCTCAAAAATCCAAACACATTTTCTTCATATTTTACTCACGAATTTTTGCAATTTTTTTCAAGAATTAGCTCAGAATTCATTGTTCTTCATGGGTTTAAGCCTGGGGTTACATGCTTTCATGCTTTTACATATATCGATAAAATAAAATTTGAGATAGGGAAGAAATCTCACAATGAATAAATATTTCTTTTTTGTAAGGATTTTCAGGTTATAGCGAACATAAAATTCTACTCTGTTCTTTTCGTTTTCTCTATTAGTTTAATTATTTTCTCAGAAGAAAAATGAAAGAAGAATTCTCAGAATTTTATAGCAATTTCCAACCTAATAAAAAAGTGATGTTAAGTCATATTGTTTATTATTAGTCCAGTTGCACCAGTGAAGATAAAATTTCAGAAAATCGATCTCCGAAGATGGAACAGCTTTCGCTATCACAACTAATACTCTCGGTCAGATTTTAAATTCATCTCCACATACAGTGGACTACAGTCATTAAGCTGAGGTTTTCGATCGTCAGTAGCATATTAATTTATGTTTATAATGCCTTTTAGGTCTACCTCTAATAAAACAAGCGAATGCAGATGTTTTTTTTCACGTGTTAGCTGATGATGACGGTGTTTTTTCTACTGAGAAAGAACAAAGTGACATTCAAAAAAAAGCGAGGTATCGCCTCTATAGGATTTGATTACTGGCTATTTTAGAAGAATCCCTTGAATTTAAGAAATGGATGATTTTTTTAAAAGTATTTTAAATCAAATCGTTTAATTTAATTCATAAATTAACTATTTCATCCAAATATAAGTGCTTGATTCCAGAGAAGAAATGTCATTGCTTGGAGTATTACAAAATTACAATCGTGGTAATTATAAACTCAATCCAGTAATTGTCCATGAAGATGATTATAATGTATATTATGGTGGTATAAGCAATGGTCTTCTTTGGCCAGCACTTCATAATCTTCCAGAATATATTGTTGAAGAATATAATAATATTAAGGTCTTTTGAAATTTTAAATTAAAATTAAAGAATGAAATAAAAATTATTTTTGATTTTGTTGGCATTCAAGAGAGAGCCTTTTGTTTTGTCGAAGATGTCGAATTTTAACTATCTTTATTCTATCTTTCTTCATATTTTTAATGATTTTGAGCCAATAAATATAGTGAAAATCGAGCACCTAAAGATTTAAATCTTCTATTCTAAAATCCTAGAAAAAACGTTGAAAATCTGGACGAAATTAAGCGAAATAGTTTATAAAGCTTGGCAAAGCATTCGGAAATTTTCAGATTCTAAAGGATCACTGGTGCGCTTATGTTCGTGTTAACTATCAGTTTGCCATCAATGCTGTGAGAAATAGTCGACCTCAGGTGATTTTAATGCAATTTTAACGTTTTAATTATTAACTTTTATTTTAACGCTTTAATTTATAAAATATTTAGGATTTTATATGGATCCATGACTATCATCTATTGCTTACTGGATTAATTATGCAAGGCCTTGATCCTAACCTTGAAGTATGCTTTAATAGATTATAGAGTTAATACTTTAATAGAGTTAATTAAAATGAAAATTTGACTCAATACGTGGCGTTCTTCGCCATGATTATTTCTGTTGATTTGACTGTTTCAATTTTTTCGGCTGCACTTGCCATTTGTGGCTTGCTGCATCGATGATGGGACACATTCAGTAGAGAGTCGCTTAAGAAATACAAATGAGTCTACAACATCTAAATTTACTTTCCAATGGTAGGCTTATTTCTATCAGAAGATGAGTCATGACGCTTGAAATATAAATCTAAGCAACGCGCTATTCGGCCATACTCCTCATGCTGCTTTCAATGTTGAATTGGGCTAAGAAGAAATCTCGAATTCAAAAAGAGGCATGTCATGCCATTAAGAAAAATAATGAAAAATGATGACCATAATTAATCGTTTATCATTATTTATTGTTCTCGATATTGACACAATATATTGCAGGTTGGCTTTTTTCTTCATATACCTTTCCAACCTCCTGAAAATTTTTTTAAGAAATATGCAGCAATTGGAATCCCAATTTTACGAGGTCTGCTGCGCTTTACAAAGGTTGGAGTGAAAATAATACACTTGCTGCTTTTTCTATAAGTTTTTATTAGCCAATTGACGTCGAAAAATCACTGTCCATTATTTATGGATTGGCAAGGATTCATAAATTCAAATCGCAAAAGAAAGTCTTTCACTCTTCATTGAATTGTAATTTCAATTGATAACTAAAGAAATAAAGAAAATAACAAGAAAAAATAAGGCACTGCTCCAAAAAACTAAAACTACTAATTTCATGCAACAAAATAGTGATTCTTTAATAGTGGTAGTGGTGGTAATAGTGGTGCATTTAATGATATACAAATTTATTTACTTTTATTTATATTTGAATTGAATTATTTGAAATAATATAATTTATTTTGAATATCTGTAAAATATGCTGTAGGTTGGTTTCCAAACACACCGTGATAGGTCTTCGTTTGTCGAATTATGTAAGGAAAATCTGCCATTACTCAATGCAACGTACGACAGTTCAGTTGATATTCACACAATTATTTACGAAGGATGGTCCTGTTCCTTAGGAGTTTTTCCAGTATCTATCAAGAATGATGATTTTTTAAAATTCGTCCAGCTACCAGAAACTGTTAAAAAAGCAGATGATATTCGCAAGGAGGTGTGAAAATGAACTGTTTTACAACTGTTTTTTTAAACAATAAGGATTATGCCGAATGGCTTTCAGTAATTGAAATTGATTTGGATTAACCAGATTGATTAACATTCGGTCTCTTCAGTTTTTCATATCGCAACTATCTTAAAACAACCTCTATACTCGAATATTGGTAATTTTTGGATGGCGATCAGTCAAACTTTTTCATTTATTTCAGATGCTAGGAGAAGATGCACCAAAAGATGCTTGTTTATTTTTTTCTGTGGAACGTTTCGATTATACTAAAGGAATCAAGGAAAAATTAACAGCCTATCAGAAATACTTCGAAAAGTATCCGAATCGGATCGGCAAAGATGTTCTTTATCAGGTATTTTATGAGATTTAATAAACAAATGGCTAACGCTCAACATTCCTAGTTAGGCAAGATTGTCTGATGGTTAGACATTTTTATTTGAATCATTTGATGGTTCAGTTTGGATTTTGGATTTTGGATACCATTTGGATTTTCTAATAGCAAGTTTACTCTTATCGAAGGGATTGAATTGAACAATTTAACAGTTTGAATTATAATCTACGCGAATCGAAGCTATATCCCATTCTGTTATCTTGATTACACATTATAACTTGTAACTTATAGATTATTAAAAAGTAACCTTCAGAATTAGAAGTAACCTTTTTCAATAATTTTTCATGCGAAGCAATTAAAAACAAAAAAAAAAATTAAGCAATCCATCTTTACATATAAATATGGTCTTCGAAATCTAAAAATACAGAAATATTTTGTTGATTTTAGGTTGCTGTAACGAATCGTCGTTCTGTAAATACCTATCGCACATATCAGGATGAATGTTTATTGTTTGCTGAAGAAATTAACAAACAATATTCATGTCACGAAAGACCCGCTTGGAAACCCCTTGTATTTACAACTGATGGTTGAATTTTTGTTTTGAAACACTGATCTATTTTTATCATCATACTTAAAATTTTGCTGGTTGAGCTTGAGTTATTAGCATAGTCTTATAAGACTATAAAATTTTATAGGAGGCGAAATTTTCGAAATTTCACATTTTATTCAAAGCAAGAAGAAAGGCTAATACTAATAAATTATTATTCTTCTTTAGTTTTAACACGCTCTGATTTGGTGGCATGTTATCTGGCAATGGATGTTGGTGTTGTCACACCTAGAAGAGACGGAATGAATTTAGTGCATTTCATTTGATATATTTTTTAAACATAGCTTTAATAATTTTGATTAATTTAGTAACTGAATTTTTTGATGACTCTTTTAATTGAAGAATTTATTGAAATATTATAGAAAGAATCGCTTCAGGATCGTTTCTAAAAAATCGTTTCTAAAAAATTAAAATATATTCGTAAAAATGTAGCAAAAAGACGAAAAATAGTAAGATAATGCTACTCAAGTGGCTATTTGACGGAATTGTGGGAAATACTTTATTTAAGCACAACTTTTAGATTACTTTGAAATCAAGATTACTGAAATTAAATGTTTAGTTACCAATATTATATAGGTAGCAAAGGAGATGCTTGTTTGCAATCCATATGCTGGATTAATTCTTTCAACGGGTGCCGGAAGTGAGATACAGTTTGAGATGGCTGGTTTTTACGCGGAAGATGGAGAAAAGTGTTACAAAAGGATTAATGATTTGTATGATATTGAGGTATTTGATCATATAAAGTGCTTACTGGATATAATTATAATAGATTTAAAAAATAAGTTTGACATAAAATTTCATTCAATGTTCGCCATCTCAGCCGGGTTCTTCGAAGATTTGCAATGAATGCAGGAAGGCGGGACAGAAATCATCATTGGAGTGACATGGCCTTGAAAATGGAGACGCCGGCTCGATTAGATGATATTAGGAAACTATTCCACCTTCTTCATAAAGCAATTATGACTCCGGGAACGATCAGTGAAATGGTATGGGACAGCAATGGCGTACCGATCAAAAATATTAAGGACCGCCTCATAAGATAAAAAGAATTCTTTGAGGCCAAATTTAATCATGAAATGCCATCTGTTGCCCCTGATGTAGCTGATACGTTTACCGAGCCATACGCTTGCAATTGCGAGCCTCTAACAGAAGAAGAAATAATCTCCGTTATCTATGATCTTAAGGCCAAGACTCCAGGAGAGGGTGGTCTTCGGGTTGAGCTTTTCAAATGTTGTCCATCGTCCTTGATAATATACCTTCAACAATATACGCTCTAGTATAGGAAAAAGAAATGTTACCAGATTCCAGATGATTGGAGTGATTCTGCTCCCAATTCTCAAGAAAGGTGATAGAACTGCGACAATTATCGAGGAATTATCGAGGAATCAGCCTACTAGACGTCTCAGCAAAAATTTTTGCTTCCCTACTACTCAATAAACTTATGGAAGTACGAGATAGCAGGATGCGCTCTAATCAAACTGGATTCAGACCGGGCTGCGATTGTGCTGACTAGATATTCATATTAAGAAGGGTGTTTGAACATCGCTTCAGACTGTCACGACTTTGCAGCTGCCTTTGATTTAATTGATAGAAAGGGTGATGGAATGCAACGATTCCAGAGAAAATCATTCGACTCATAAAGGCATTTTATGAGCGCAAATCGGTGCAGGTTTTTATATATGGGGAGTTGACAGACTCCTTCGAAATAAGAATTAGTGTCCGTCAGGGCTGCGTCCTTTCCTCTACAGTATTCAACTATGTGATAGACTGGATAATGGTCACCGCTTGTCGACAGAGGTGTCCAAATTAGTTCAGAGCACCGTATCATAGATCTTGAATACGCTGATGATGTAGTCCTTTTTACTGACAGTTATGATGAAATGGCAAATAATGCTAAATAACGTATCAGCGACTGCAGCGAGAATCGGACTCATGATCAATGCAAATAACGTCTTTTGTGCAAGAAGCTGATAAAATACTTCTTTTTGTAAATTCATTGCAGATTAAGGAAGTGCCCAATTTTAAATACCTTGGGTCCATTTTAATATCAAATGGCCAGGCAAATGACGATATTATAGCCCGGATCACGGCAGTTAGAAATGCGTTCTTCCAGTTGACGAATGAAATTACCATAAAAATGAAAATTCGCATCTTTATAGCCGTGATTAGTTCGATCTTATTATATGGTTCTGAGACATGGCCAATGAGAGTGGAGGAAATTAAGAAGTTATCTGCGTTTGACGACTCTTGTCTAAGGTACGGATCCGTCGAGTGGATAAGATATCACAAGATCGTCCATCTTCGTTCAAATACCACTTGCATAAATATGTTATCAGAAAGCTCCGCCTTCGCTGGTTAGGTCATATTCTCCCCCGTCCACCACAGGAGTTGACGCATTATTCATTACTTGCTAAACCATATGATGGCTTAAGTCAAAAGCGAAGTAGGCCAATCAACCTGGACTGGTACGGTCAGAATAGTTTTGTATATGTGGACCAGCAATATATGGACTTAGACGATGGAAAAAAGAATGACTTCTATAACTATCAAAGATGGCATCAGACCGCACCGCTTGAAAGCGTCTTACCCTTGTAGTTGTTGGAGCCAGCCTAACCAGTATAGCTATTAGAAGAAGATTTCAGCTATTTGTCGATGAAACGTTCTATGGAGAACCTTGTTTTGCCATGGTATTTCTTCTGCTTAGTTTCTTTCCACTGGCTATTGCTGCTTTAAATATTTTTTCAGCAATTCATCCTTTGCCATCTGGTTGATGCATTGCTGTTTTCTTTCAAGGCAATTGCTTTGACTCATCAAGTCTGACCTGTTTTTTTTCTGGCTGGTGTGCAACCTTTGGGTACTAGATTGGGGTGAAAATTTCCGTGCATTATGCAGATACACTTGCAATCTCCATGTTTTCCTTTGGCAATCCCACTGTGCTAGCTACTTAATTGATGATTGATAGGATGTATATATTTATGGCGTAGATTTAGTTTTTTCCAGTAAGTGTGGATTATACCCAAACCAGATGCTATCCAGCTTTTCACGTTTTTTGCTCTTTGTTAGATGTCTGCTATTATGATTGGTACCTGTTGTTGCTCTGGAAAATTACTATGGTTTATCCTCAATTCCTCAATTCTTACAGCCACTTGAACCTGGTTTATCCTCAATTCCTCAATTCTTACAGCCACCTCAAGAATCCAAGAGAATCGCACAGATAGACATAATCGTAGTGGATCGCCAGCATCATCCGGATTTCCTTTAATTTCTGCAAAGCTTACATATGTTGGGTAAGTTTCGGCATGTCGGATTAATAATCTGAGCAACTAGACCGCTTTATAGATATTGCAATCTTTGCTATAATTTGTTCGAATATACAAAAGAAAGAATAGTTTCGCTAAAATAAAGTCTCAAAAAAGAAATTTAAAAAGTTTTTTGAATTTTTATAAGATTCTCATTCAAAAAATCCTGATGATGCTGGCAACCCACCTACACTTCTATCGCCAACAATTTTCGACTGTAATAACTAGACGATTCATCAATTACATAGGTAAGTTTAGATTTAAATAAAATTTAATTTTTTGATTTTTTAATTCGCTTAAAAATTCGTTTTGCAGTCATTTTCGGATGCATTTTACCTTGCTGCAATCGAAACTAAAAGTATTAAATATCAGCATGGCAGCCGCCTAAATGAATTTATAATGGCAAATGATATTGAACATTGGAGTACAGCTTTTTTAGATCCATCATGGACTCACCAAGTTATCAGACCACTTGAGGCAGCTTTTTTTTCGAAAATGTTCCTCAAAACCGTACTGAGAAATGTTTTTCATTATTTTGATAAATTTGTTTAAGGTTCAAACACTGGATGATTTTTTTGGTTTAATGATGCGAACGCGATTTGTTCGAAGACAAATCGTTGAACGTGTACTGAAAGGAATACCTATCCGCTCACATTTTGCAGTATCTTTGAAAAATGCAATGGTAATTAATATTCCTCTTCTTCTTTGTTCTTACCCTTATGATTACTAAAATGAGACTCTTTCACCAAAGAGTCAGATATCCTACTAGTCGGTCTTCAGCGCCATCCTAATTTCACTACATGACTGAACTAACAACTCTCACCATTACTGGTTAAACTAGCTCCAATGGCTGCAAAGCTAAGATGCTTCCAAGCGACCGGGTCTGATGCCATCGTCGATAGTAATAGAAGCATCCTTTACTCCTTTTTCTCCTATTTCTCCTTTTTCTTTTCCATCGTCTAAGTCCATATATCGCTGGTCCAATACTCCTTTATAATACTCCTTATAGTCTAATACTCCTTTTTCCATCGTCTAAGTCCATATATCGCTGGTCCACCTATACGTTTAAAATCTTCAAGATCTCATCTGAACAAAATCCACACAATATTTGCCTTCAGAAGTAGCATAAATTTGACCATTTCTACTCTTAACATTACCATAATTTTTTTTTTTTGACTGTGCTCAAATGATTTTTACTGGATGATCTGATTTTTATTCAAATTTCAGGATTCCTTGCAACACAGTTGCGAAAGAAATACCACGATCATAAATTTAAACCTTGGACCAATGGCTGATTTTCAGTGCAATCATCTTTCAGTGAAATTTGACATAAGAATTGAGTTAGAAGAGTTCGAAAAGGATCTTAGCTTTCTTAAATTCATCGAGAGCGATAATGTTTATAACGTTGAACAATTCGTTGATGTCCGTTTTTAAATTTTTTTTTTTGATTTTTTGAATATGGTGGAATTTTATAACCATAGGATGTTTTATTATGGATTTCCTGGTCTTTATTGTAGACTTTACAAACTTATCACCCAGTATCACCGCAAGTCTTTAAAGAAGAAGTTGCAGCAGCTGTTGAGTTGCTTTATGAGGCTGATCATTTTCATTATTTTTTCACAGATCGTGATGGAACTTTGAAAACTTATTCATGTAGCTATCGAGCTAGTATTCAACCTGCCTATTCCGGTGTTATTCAGGCAATTTTATCAATTTTTTTTGAATTTTTTAGCCTTTCATTTTACTTCCTTGGAGCATTCATCTGTATTTACTTTTTGTAAAACATACCATTTTCTTGCTTCCACTGATTATTAGAGTGAGATTTCGAATCAAAAGATGATCAGTAACTTATCGTTATCAATAGTTTATCATTTATAAAATATCAATTAGAACCTACTGAATTGTCAGATTTTTATCATTTTCTTTTCCTTTTTTTGCGCTTCTTAAACCTATTTACATTTAGCATTGTAGTAATAAAAATTAAATATGGAATTCCATTTGTTTTTCTTTGTAATATGTTTTAGCAAGATAGTTGAATTTAGGCACAGTTCGCGAGACGTTGCGCTCAAATTTGCGCTATTATTACGACAGCACCTCTCATGCATCTCGGAATTCTTGATGTAAGCACAATTCCAGAAGGTAAAATTTTCTAAATTTCTAAAAAATTTCGTTATTTCGACTTTAAATCCTGAGTTTCAAAAAAAAGATTCTCAAAAATATATTTTTTCATGTAAGTGAAGCAGCCCTTATTTTTAGGTTTCTATTATTTTGGTGCATCTGGTGGCCGTGAGTGGTTTATTGATCCTGAAAAAAAGTTTAAAGATACAGCGCTTTCTGAGAAGCAACTTACCATGCTGGATAAAGTAAAATTTCAAATTTTTCCTCTTTGATAATGCACCATAAAGAAACTTTCACTTGCTTGTTTGATCATGTTCAAGAAACCTTAAATAAAGTGCACAGCAAAAAGTTTAAGCATAAAATTGACGAATTTTTTCTTGGGTTCTTGGGTTCTTGGGTAAAATCTATATCCAATTAAACAATTCAAAATTTAAAGGGCTCATTTTGAATATACGAAAAGTTTGCAACCATATTCAGGTATATAAAGAGATAGTTAAGTTGCTCGAACATCCAGATTATAAAATTTTTGCATGGGTAGGATCTGGACTTCAAAAACATTATGGACATATTACAATAGCACATCAAGATGTGTATCGATCTATTCCAGAAAAGAGATCGGCGGATTTGTTAGTTTTTTTCAATATTATTATATTATTTATAACAAATTTTTTTTCAATTGTTTTACGACATCAAGTAGTTTGCGCTGAATGAGAGGATAATCATTTTTAACTTCACTAAGAAACAATAAAATTATTGAGGCTTTCGGAAGTTCGTGTGATTCTTTTGAATTTGGATCCGAAACAAGAAATATTCACTTTGCGAGAAGGAATTAATGATTTAAAAATCTACCTAACAGTAAGTTTTTTAGAGTTTACTGGCAAGGATGAATTGAAGGGAATTATATATCACTCATGGTCATTTTTGTGGTAATAAAGCATATAAATTAAAGGACAATTAGAAAATAAAATAGGTTAATAGCGGAAATATTTTCAGGCGACTTCCGACACCACTTTCAACAAAGGTCATGGTATTGCCCTTTTGGTTGATAATATTCATTGCAAATTATCTGAAGGTAATATTTTGGTTTGTGGCGATAGTGAAACAGATTTGCCCATGTTGGAAGTATGTTTAGGAAGAAATCCTAGAAACATTTATACAATTTGGGTTACTTCTAATGAGGAACTTCAAACTAAGGTATGTTTATTCAAGTTGGACGTGTTTCGATTATTTTGCTCACATTTTAATTTTTTAATGCCACGCATATTAAAAATTTTGTAACGTTAGCTCATTTCATTTTATAATAATAGATTTTTAAGCTGATAATGAGGTAATCTAAATATGAAATTCAAAAAATTGTTTTTTTTGTTGAAGGTAAAAAATTTATGCAAAAAATATGGTAATTCGAATGTTGCATTTGTATCTACGCCCGAAGTATTGCTTGGCGCTATGGCTCAAGCTACAATACGAGAAATAAGCATCGCAGCTCGAGCTCGACAAAATATATCCACCTCATAAAATTCATATCGTTCGATGTTTATACCAGAATTCATTTTAGAAAACGTTAGATCCATATTCACCCGTCTTCTTTTTATGTTTCTAGCCATTATAATAAATTATTTTATAAATTATTTTTTCCGAAATTTTTCACGTTTGTTTTTTTTATGGCTTCATTTTTTAACATCCATTGTAATATGCATTTTGTATTATATGTTGTATCTTGACCGTCTTTCACTTGTGTTATTATTCGAATTGCAGAATAAATTTAAATATTTAAGTAATTTTGTAAAAATATTTAAGCATTTTTTTAACTTATGAAATTAATGATTATTTTTCTAAGGAATAAAATTATTCAAAATATTGATATAAATCCGCCTTTTGATTTGCTATTAAATTTAACTACTGGAGAAGCAACTACTGGATATGTAATCAAGAAACTTTTGTTAGGTCCACAATTTCTTCGTAAAATTCAAGTTTAGAATTAACAAAATGGTTTGGCTATTGTTCGCATTTTTGGCTTTATTGGCTTATGTAGGAGCTTTTAATATTCATAAAAAAATTGAAGAACCGGACATTCAGCAGTTTATATTCATGTGATCTGCCTATTCCATAACTGAGGACCTTCTCTTCAAATTTATGAAATTTTCACCACAAAAAAATATTGTAAAAATTTCAGATTTCACTCTGAACAATGAATGTCGTTTTCGCTCTCCACTCCATTTAACAAAAAATTAATTATCGGCTTAAACCTGGCTCTACATGTAAATTATCAGAATGAATAACCTTATCGCCCTGAAAATAATAGGATGTTGCCTGACCAAACAGGCCTGTTAGTTTAAAATTAAACATTTTGGGTTTTGAATTCTCCTTCGCTGACGTGACTGAATCCGTCATTATAGCAGTAATCACTGATTAATAACATTGAACAGATTTATAAAAAGATCCATTTCATATATTAAAAAAATAAATATCTTTATGAATTCTGAAGGCAATTTTATTTATTTCTAACACAATTAATACAAGTTCGTTTTTTAAAATAAAATAAAATTAAAATTAAAATTCAGATTACAGTGGAAAATATTTAGTGTAAAGGTTAACTTCTTTATTGCTAATTTGATTTAAAATTGATTCAGTTAACCTAATTATTTAATATATATAATTTAATTATCTACGAATAATCTTGTTTTTTTGTAATTTATTGATCAATTATATTGAAAATAATTGATTATAATATCTTAATTTTCATCATTTCTTCTTCGGAATAATTTGCCAACTGATTTATTCAATCCAGGAAAGTTATAAAATTATGTTCAAATTATAACAATTTTCAGCTAGCGCAAACAAATTTCATAAATGACTATGTTCTGGATGGCTACTCATAAAATTTTATGGAGATTATGTGCCTTGGCTTATTGTATGTTTGTAGTAAATTCCGGTAAGCTGCACTATCACTTTTAAACTAATAAGAATAGAATAAACTAATAAGAACTAATGCCTCAGTACAGTATAAATGTTGAACAGTGATTTAAATGTTGCAGAAGAAAGGAAATAAGAACACAAATTGTGCAAATTTTAACTAAATAATTTTAACTTGAAAAAAAGAGACTTTTGAACGTTTAAAATTTAAGTTGGGATCGATTGGGAACTTTTATTAATATAATATTATCAATATTTTTTAGCATATTTCTCACATAATTGGATGAGAATTGAGAAGGCTAAACTGGATAAAAAAAATTATGAAATGATCAAAAATTTGCATTTGAATTGGTACAGTTATGCGTTGAAAGCTCTAATGGCTCAATTTGGGAGGCAGTTATATGATAATCTCAAGAGACGTTAGTTAATTGCCTCTTTAAATAGACAAAATAAAGGCAGATTTATTTAATGACGACAAATTAATTATGGCAAAATTCATATCGAAATTTTAAAATTTTAATTAGGAAGGGTTAGTGTATTAAAAAGATAAAAGAAATTCTTTGTGCTTTCATTTTTTGGGGGATAAAATGGCTCAGTGGGTTGTTCAATTGGGAACATCGATGCTGAGGTTCGATTCCATGCAGGAGTAAAACTATACAAAAATCGGGTGATACTGGCGACTCACCTATTTCCATAGCCGAGGAACTCCCTGGCATATTGCCCAATGCGAGCCAGTGGAGCGAGTTTAACCAGTAATGATGAAGATTCTTTCATTTTTTGAAAAAAATTTTCATTTTTTCAAATTAACCGAATAAGAGGAAAAAATATCTAATTATCGCATTTGTAGGGGAGCAGCTAAATTTCATTCGTTGCCTTAACAATATTTCTGACGAAAGGAATATAAAATTGGGAGCCAAATGTTTAGCAAAGTCATTTGATCAAAAAAACAATTCACGAAAATACATCGATGTTAAAAACAATGTAAACCGACAAATTAGTTTTTTTAGGTTATAAAATATTTCAAATTTTACATTCCCGTTATTCGCAGGTGACGAAAAGATTTCATTAGTGATTGATGATAGATAATGATGGGCACTGTTATAAAAACGGATATCTTAATTCGTGTTAAAATTGAATTAAAATTTCGATTTAGAGAGATTTAAATCAATAAGAATTTAAAGCTATTAAGGCCCAGCACAGAAAAACTAAGCAAAGACAATCATTCCGAAGTGCATGCATCGGGAAATCAAGTGAGATTCTCGCGAATCGACACTGGCAGATTTATAAAAAGGCAAATGGATTCATTAAAAGCTAATAAGATCTTCCAGATTCACCGTACACTATTGCATGGTAAATCTTCTACAGTGAATGCAAGTTTTTCCTTTCCTCGTCATAATATTATTTGCTTTAAGTTTTTTTTATTAAGTGTTATAAAACTACTTTTTTGGAAAAGTTTCAGTATTTCGTTATCAGTATTTCTTCAGTATTTCTTTCTCGGTAAATGGCATTTGTCTCGGCTTCAACGAAAATTTTTATGAATTTTAATTCACTTCATTATAGATAAAACAGTATCATTCCTATCCGCAATTAATATTGAAACCAACAAAAACGCCGATACAAAGAGTTAATCATTTTTCATAATGGGAAGTTTTAAAATGATAAGTTTTTGACAAATGTGATAATAAATCCAAAGTAAAATTTGTGGATGATTTTTATGCTATGCTTAATATCTTTATTTGCTAGTTAATTTAATGAAAAACAACAAAAATGCCTAATTTTTTAGCTTGGCTAAGGTTCTTTATTTCTAAATTTATGATTTTTATTGAATGAATATTTTTTGAAACTTATCATATTTAGGATAATTACTGGCAATTTTCTTTTATTAAAACTAGTATTAACAATTAACCTCAAATAATTGAAATTGAAAATATCAACAAATTTTTATTTTTTAGATAATCGCTTTGGTAAAAAATCTCAGCAACAGCAAAGACAATAGTGATCGCCCAAGCTGGATAGAACTATATGCAAAATTACTTGATTTCAAAAAATTTCATCAAAGGATGATGGACACTCCAGCCGCGAAAATTTATAGCTTAAGATTGATTGATTTAATACTAGATCGGAAGAAAATACCGCATTCGCAGAAAAGACAAGTGGATTCACCGAACTCTGTAAGTATTTTAATACTTTTTTTCTTTTTAAGAGCACTGCTGGTTAGGCTGACTCCAGGTAATTTTGCCAGGAATTCATATAGCCATATGTAGTGACAGATGAGTCGTCAGAATTTTTGAAGAACAGATTTACTCCTGCAGAACACAGAACCTCAGCATCAACACTTCGAACTAAACAATAACCATCTGAGGCATTCTATCACCATTTTATTTTATTTTCGCCGTTTGACGATGCCAATCATCTTGTCACTAAGCCACTGATGCACCAGTTTACTATGGCATCTTTATTACGATATTCAAAAAAAGAATCTTATTTTTAATTTCTGTTAAAGACATGTTAAATTTTAGATGAAAAGCAGGGAAATGTTAAGTGGCCTCGTCAATTTCTTTGAAAAATATAAATTGGGCATAAACAATATCGAACTTCTGAGTGTTAAAATTGCTCCACTCTCACCCGACAATATTTCAGAGGGATCACGGATTCTATCTCCTTCTATTTTCGCCTTTTATGACGACCAAAGCGCTGATAACATCATTTCTCTGCCAAAAGTTTTTGTTTTTTTGTTACGTAATTCGGAAAATTCGCTTAAAATTATTCAATTCAATTTTATTCTGGATTTCAATTTCTAAAAATTAGATTCTACCTAGATAATGGAACATTTAAATTTGAATGGCGCTGATCAAGCTGCAATCATGGATTTAATAACAGAACTGAGCGGAATAAAGGATTTGATAATTGCAAACATTGCAAACATGAAATTGCTTCGTGTGATTCGCAGCATCGATTTTGAGGACGAAATTTTTCAGGTAATTGCAACGATCTATTTATTCGATGGAAACGATGTTTTTATAAAAATTTCCTTTTGGTTTCAAATTTTGCTGAAAATTTTCAGAAAATATCTTCAGGCTAATGTTCGTTTAGAGAAAGCATTCACGAATCTAAAAAATGGCCTGAATAGTGAGCAAAAGACGGACTTGGATGTATCCGGGTTTGCATTATTGCAGCCAAATCAAATGAATGAACTGCTACAGGCTCACGGTTGTAGAATTTTGCCTTATACATTTGTGGCATTTTTTTCAGAATCTTAGAATTTTTCGCTCCTAGTCTTAACATTAATACTTAATATGATTTAAAAATCTAAAAATCTAAAATTTTTAAAATTCACTGGAGCTTAAAATTAAATAAGTGGATTTCTAGTGGATTTAAAACGCTTCAGAAGGAGTTTCGATAAACGGAAGAAAATGAAAAATGCCATAAAACGGAATCAATAGTGAAAAATGTTAATATGACTTCCCAAATAATTCTTAATGTTTTAGGCGTTAATGATCCAAAGAAAATTGAATTAGATATCCAAGCATACAGTGGACTGAATAAGCACGAATGCATAGAAAATATTTGGAGAAGTATCAAGAAAATCGCTCTTGGGGAAAAGGTAAATTTAGGCATATTTTGTTTGTAGTTGCTAGCATTTTAATTAATAATATTTTTGCTTCCCCTAGAAGTTCTTCAAGATTGCTGTCAAATAATTCTGATTTGGGAAAATGTTGCTCCTCAAAGGACCAATAGAAATAGATGGTTCTTAACATTGCCTAAAACTTAGTGCTAGTGCTCTCTAGGAGAAATGAGCGCACGAATTAATGGGCCTGTTGATTTTCTTGACTTTAAAATTTTGATGGATTCTTTAAGCAAATAATGAAAATTGTATTTTCAGGAATTGAAAAGAGTAAAACGATTCACTATTTTCAAAAAACCAGGGATATTTGCTTTATCACCGTTTATTTTCTCGCCAGGAACTGGTCTCACAGTTTTGGGTCCTGTAATTCTTTCTCCAAACGTTTTTAGCCCAAACATATTAAGCCCTGCAGTGTTCAGCCCTCTTATCTTTGATCCAGATGTACTTGGCCCCTTCATTTTATCTCCTTATGTCTTATCACCACACATATTATCGCCTTTGATTCTAGCACCCTTCGTCCTTACTCCATATGCACTCTCACCACGTACTGTTTCGCCTTATGTTCTTAGTCCTTTAGTCCTCAGTCCTTATATTCTGTCACCAACTATATTATCACCTCAGGCGCTTGGTGGTTTCTTCCTTTCCCCTAGAATGCTATCACCAGCTATAATAAGTGACCAGTTTTTATCTTTAAATGTTTTATCACCAACATTTTTGTCATAAGAAATTTTACTGCACATAAATGAAGTTACTAATGCATCATGATCATCAAGCAATATCAAGACGTTTGAAAGGTGGGATAAGTTATGTATTCAATATCCAAGATCATGTCATCTCCATGTCATTAGTTAAAATTTATCTTTTTATCACCCTTCATCACCACTCATGTAATTTTTTGCATATAAAATGCCTTTTAAAAATTAAGATGGAGATCAAATAAAATTTCAGCCTATGGTTTGCAATTTTGTTTTTAAAACTTTTGTATTTTATTTTTTGTCGAATCAAAAAGTATTCAATTAAATTGGGGAAAAATTAGTAACTAAGCAGTGCATTCAATTTCGGCTTTAATTTCGCAATATATTATTAAATTTTTTCCTTTTAAAAGTTTTATAAAGTTTCAATGGCATCCAATGGCAAAACGTTTAATAATGTAATTTCATGGTACTCAAGAAAACCACATAATTTTTTGTGAACAAATTTGAACATCCAGTTGATTTGCTAAACTTAGTGCTTCTAAACTTATCCTCCCTAAAGCAGTAAGGGTGCGCAATAAAAAAGTAAAAACAGCAAAAAAATATGAGAAGATATTATTAAATCAACTGCACTGATTAGTTTGATTTTGTAAATTTTCTCGATTTTAAATCGAAAAGAAGTTAATCTTAGAGAATGGTGAAATAAATGAACAGTGGAATTCACATTTCTTGCTGATAAAATACTATATTTTTCAAAAGATTTATCGAATTTTATTTGAATTTTCTCATTGCATTCAATAGACAAGGTCAGTTAACGAATTAAATTTATAAAAAACCCAAATGCCTTTGAGAATTAAGATGAAATTATTTTTAATTTTAAAACAATTTGCTAAAATTCGCTCCAATATTTCAACTTGAATATGAGACGAATATCAAAACACCAAAATGAGATGGATTTTGGGTTGCTGTTTCATTTTAAGAATATCTATGGGGGACGATTGTCTTTGTTATTTTACAACATTACAGCATTTATACTTTATTGTTCGGTTTAGAGAATGATAAAAAAGAAAATCTGAACGCAGCCAAATGGCTATCATTCTTGGTTCGTTGGATTGTCTATGTTGATTTTCCATATTTTGAAGGAATTAAACATTATTATTCTTGTATTATTTAATAAATTATTAAACATCTGCGAAATTTTTTTAAATTTGTAATAATCGGACTCACCCAGACTTGGTAGAGCTGTTTACCTGTCGTGTGGTGTCAAATATTTTAAAGTAATTCTCTAGCAAAACAGGTGAACTTTAACAACTAATGAAGCAAAAAACAAGATTGAGGATATAACAAGACACGCAATGAAACCTGGACTTTAGAGCCAATAATCCTTGTAAAACAAATCGGATAAGCTAAAGTATTGAAACTTAAGAAAGCTGTCGGAAATTCTGCTTTCGAAAAAATTCCCAAATATTTTCGAGATTTTTACTCCTAAATGATCAATAATGAAACGATCGATTGACTCGATTGATCATTACTTGGATCAAATGGTTAATTGATGATATAAATTAATTCTTGGCATGGAAGGAAGGCCCATTAATTGACGTAAATCGTTGCTATTTGTTAATTTCCATTATTTTTTCAGCAATAATTATTATTGATATGTATGGACATTGCCCTGCCGGTCGTTTTAAATAGAAAGGTTAATATTTGTCCCTTTTATTCTTTTCGCAACAACGAGCAATAATTGTTTTTCACCAATTACGGACTAAATTAATGAATTTCCTTCAGCAAAAACATGAACATTTCATGGCTGAACCATACATCACTCTCGCTTCTCGATATTTCTATCTCGATTTAGTTAGGACACCTGTGGATTTGAGCCTCTAAACGAGTGACCTTGTTCCAATGTCATTTGACTATATTTTTAATATATCATGAAAAATTTCTGCCAGATCAAATAATTTTTTCAAGAATTGAAGTATAATGCCAAATGGTTTGACTTAAATATAATAATAGTATAAAAGAAATAGGAAAAATTCTTGTAAACCTTTGATAATTTATCGCAATAAAAGATCCGGGACCTTTAGAATTTTGGTATTTCAAGGTTCGGCTGGAGGGCAAATTTTATATGTCCGAAAATTACTGATTTGCTATTAAAAACGAGAAATTAAGTTATCATGTCGAACGGTTGATTGTGGTTCAGCAAGAGCTCTCGTTTTGCACTTTTTTCTAAATATTTCTTGCCCAATCTCACTTGTGCCCTGGAATTATTTCCTTATTCATTATTTTTATTCATTACTTCCTCTAATTTTTCATGAATTAGAAATATATAATTTTCTTGTTCCAGTAAATTTTTTTTTAGGATTAATAATTGAGTTATATGTTTGCAAAAAACTACCTCTACGTTTTTTTACTTACTTTTATTGAAGGTAAGGTTTATTTTTTTGTGATAACTTTTATGATAGTTTTTTTCTTCATAATCCATATGATTAATTCCACATTTTTATTAGCATTTAAGATCACAGCATTTTTTTACATTTTCCTTCTCAATTTATTCGTATTTTTCCACTTCGTAAAGCAAAGTAGTTTAAATTTTCTTTTTTTCTTTAATTCATTTATTGGAACTTTTTGTAAATATTAATAACAAATATTCAGTAACAGTAACAGACAAAACTGTTTTAAATAATAAATACTTGCAACTACCAAAAATGGATCAAAAAACGTTTGAAAATGTCAAAAATTTGCATTTAAACTGGTATGTGTATGCTGTAAAAGCGCTTATTGCTCAAATGGCTAAACATCTTTACACAAAAATTAACTCAGGTTTGATTCACTTATTTTTCTAAATATTTTCCCTACAAAATATACGTGTATTACTCGCTCCGAATTTTCCATATCTCCCCTGTATTTTTAAACGAAAAAATTACAGATGAACGACATCGTTTAACTGTTTGTCTGTATAATATTCCGAATGATAATGACTTAAAAGACGGGGCAAAATGCCTTGTCGACATTAGGAAGCGTGCAGAAGTTATGCGAAGCCAAGCGAATAAAGAACAGACCGAAGGAACAACCAGTTGGAAAAATCAAGAAAAAGCATCATTTATCATTGATTCAGCGGATAATAGCTTTATATCACCAAGTCGAACAAAAATAACCCAAACTTTTCTTAAACATATCCAGGATTTGCGTATCCAGATTAACAAAAAGTTACCCCAGGATCATGGAATCATCGCAAAAAAACTGACTATACAAGCGAAGGGTCAGCGACGATCAAAATTTTGGTTGAAATATAACACTGAGAAATTAAAAATGCTTCAATTATATCAATTACCTCAAAAAATGTATAGAGTTAAAACATTCAAGCAAAAAAATGAAGTAAAGCTGCATAAACATCAAAACGAATGTCAATCGAGCAAGAAAAAGATTTCCATACATTACAATTTGGCTTCTTTATCAAAGAGGAAATTGCTTACCATTCACCGACGAAGAATTCATTATCAACCATTCAGAAATACAAATCCTATTAAATCAGCGCAAATACGACGAAGGAGAAGTCCATATAGACTTATTCTTAATGGAACGCAGAGCAAAATAAGATACGAGGTAAAGATTGCTTACTCGAATGTACTAAATGGGCTAATGAGAATTATTAATTAATTAACTGATTTTCGCTATTTAATTTATCAATGTTCTGAGTCCAGTTTACTTTTTTTTTCTAACAGCGCTCATCATTGCTGATTAAAGTCGCATGTGCTGGCTTATCAAATCAATTTTGCCAGAGAATCACTTGGTGACTTAAGTACAGATACATCGGAAATTAAGAGCAGGAAGTTCAAGTGATTTGTTACCTCGATTAAGATTAAGCCGATTCCCATTCATAGCCTCGATTCCCATTTCTTAATGGAAGAAAATGTGTTGAAAGTGAATTTCTGTATTCTACCATCACTAACTGGCAATAGAATCTGATCCTTATAATCAGTAGAAAAAGCCAATGAAAAACACTAAACGGTGCTGATATAAGTATGCCAAAACTTCGGCAATAACATGAAAATTATGTTTGCAGATAAAACAGTTGGAATCGATTAAATCGCTGATAACAAAAAATCAGAAAAGTCCCATTCAAAGAGTAAGTCTACTACTCTTAAATTATATCAACTCCATGAGTAGCTTCTTGTTGGATCCATTAATGTTTGACGATGTATCCTCTTGTTAAATTTAACTGATCGAAAATCAAAATCAAAAGAGAAACCTATCTGTTTTAGCAAATTATTTGTATTTTAAAACTCCATTACAATAATTTTATCAATTTGAGGCCCTTAAAGAGCTTTAAGATTTGAATTCAACCATTTCTTGAATAAAAGTTGTATATATTTCACCAAAGATTATATTTTTCTGTCTCGTTAGCGGTTTTCTACTAGGCAATGGAACTCACCCGCATCATGGTTAATGGAGGCCAAGATATTAGAAAAAATACATGGATGAAGTCATATAAAAAGCTATTGGACTTAAAAAAGATTATGGATGAGAAGAGCAAATCGCCCGGAGCAAAAATATATAACATGCGGCTTTATGATATAGTTTTAAACAGAAAATATCCAACAAGATCATCTGAACAAAAGGTTTCTCAACGTTTCTTTTGAGATCTTAAAGGTCTATCTCGATAAGTCCATTTAAAAAATATCCTGAATAGATTACATTACAGCGAAAAATGCCAAAATATCTGGCCGAAGTGCTTCATTTGATAGATATATTTAAATCGAATAAAATGAATGTATCAACGATAAAATTATTAAGTCCTCGAATCGCTCCGTTGGTACCTGAAAGTGGTCCTACTGAATCACGATTATTTTCTCCGTCATTTTTGTCATTCTATAAAGATGATAGTCTTGACAACATCGCAGCATTGCCAAAGGTTTGGTTCCAATATATAAGTTCAACAGCTATTTTGCAGATTTTTGATGCAAAATTGAAAATAGAAAATAAAATTAAAATAAGATATGAAAAATTTCATAATTTTTAAATGTTTTTCAAGCTACTCTTCAGATTTTGGACGACAATGGTATCAGCGAAGATGACCGATCGTCAATTATTGAAATGGTGATGGACATAAGCGGGGCGAAAGATGCCATCGAAGCAAGCCTTAAAATACTCTCGTCCATTTCTTATGCACGATTTGATAATGAAATTAATGAGGTGCACATTCTCATCATTTTTTCAACTTCTTGATCCATCGTTACCTAACTTTTTCTCTATTTTGCTTAACAATTTTGGCATCGAATCGAGAATTTCAAATCCAAAACATTACCCTTCAGGTCACATTTCGGTTAGATAAAGCGTTTGAGCATTTGGCAGAAAGCTTAAACAATGAACAAAAAAACAAACTCGATTCAGATGGATTTGCTTTTCTTGAAGTTGATCAAATTAAACAAATAATGAGTGCCCAAGGTATAATTTTGATTGCTTATATTAATAACAATTATGGCCTCAAGGCTGACCTTATATATATTCTTCTTCTTAAGAGTCCTCACCATTACTGGTTAAACTCGCTCCGCTGGCTTGTCGCATTGAGCAATATGCCAGGGAATCCCTTGGCGATAGAAGTACAAGTGAGACGCCAGCAATACTCGAGTTTTCGGACAGGTTTGCTCCTGTGGGGAATCAAACAGCAGCTTCGGCTACTTCAAATTGAGCAACAACCCACTGAGCCATCCTATCCCCCGACCCTATGTGTATAGTTGCATTTATTTCAACTTCTCTATGAATCTTTAAGAATGTTAAAAAAAATCTAGGCTGCTAGGAAGCAGTGGAAATAAATATCAGCATATGTTATTGCGAAATACATTTTCATTCAGACCCTCTTTCCTGACTTTTCATGAATTTTCATCAATATTTTTGATCATTTTGCTAAAAATTTAAGGAATCAAAGATATGAAGGATTTGAACTTTGATATTGATGCTTATGAACAGTTATCTAAGAGAGAACGATATCATTTATTATGGAAGAGCATCGAGGAAATCGCAAATAGGAAAGCGGTAATTTACTAAGTAACATGTTTCAGATAAAGCATCCATTAGTACCTTTATATTTAGGTTTATACTGTGGTTGATGGAATCTGGATTCTGGACAGAATCTGGACAGAATCCGTTCAAGATTTGCAATTTCATGTTTATGACTAAAAAAATGATTTCAAAAAATAGAATTTTCTAAAAACAAATTTTTTCACAAATAGACAAAATTTATATGGTCTAAAATATTTTTCAGACAAAACAGCGGAAAAAACGCGACTCCACCGTATTACAACCGACTATTTTAGCACCATATATGTTTGCTCCAATTATCGGCTTAACCATTCTTGGACCTACAATATTGTCACCAAATATATTCAGCCCTTTGGTTCTTAATCCAGCAGTCCTTAGCCCATACATATTATCTGCAGCACTTTTTATGCCTTTCATTGTCTCACCTTATGTTCTATCACCTTATATACTTACGCCAATTATTGGTGCCCCGTTTATTTTGTCACCATATGTCATTTCGCCAAATGTTATTAATCCTTATGTTATGAGTCCATTAATACTTAGCCCATATGTGCTTTGCCCGGATGTTTTGTCTCCTCAAACCTTAGGTGGCCAAATTTTATCGCCAAACGTTCTATCACCTTCATTTCTTAGCGATTCACTATTAATGGCAAAAGTATTGTCTCCTACATACTTGTCATGACGTTCCATATGCGATTATACCATTATGTGTATAGTAAAAATATTCTTATTTGTAGATATATTTGTAGGTACCATGGGTTTCGATTCGGCAGAAAACACCCAAAATTAAACGCATTTCTTGTATCGATCATAAATTTTTATTTTTTACGTTTCTAATGCAAACAATACTTCAATAATTCAATCATGAGAAATGTTTTTTTTCTCTTTAATTCTTCACAATTTCCGAAAATTTTCTTATCCTCATTTTCCTTTCTTTTAAAGTTATTATTTTCTCGTACCATGGTAAATGGCAAAAAAGGAACATTATTTCTTTATTATATGAACCACAAATAAACAAACAAACAAATATGGAATAAAATCGAACTATATTTTCCTTTGGATAAGTGAACGCTTCAAAATATATAATTATAAATCACTAATAAAATAAATTTTCTAATCACTAATAAACTCTTAGTTTAATTTAGTTTTTTCTTTATTCTTAATTTAGTTATTTAATTTCAATTTAAGCATCAAGTTTAATATTTTAATCTAACTGCAACCATTCCTTCAACGTTTTTTAGTTTTTTAGTATAAAATAAAATGATAAAATGATCCGGCAATTTTAAATTCGGTAAAAAATACTAGAACATTCCATCTAAATACCATAATTTGTTGTATTTCCCTATGGGACTCATCCTAAGAAATGTCAGAAAATAAATGTATACATTATTAGAATATGCATGGATACGTTAAAATATAAAAAAATTGAGATCGGGTAAATAATATTTTCCAACAATAATTTTCTAATAATTTTTTCAAAAAAATTTCTATGGAGATAAAAATATTGCAGTTGGTAATAAAAAAGTTTGATAAATATTATCAAAAAGCAATACAAACTGCAGCGAAGTTTAATTGATTAGGAGCTATAGTTCTCATAGTTTTGTTTGAAAATTTGAAGGGAACGTAATGAACGAGCAATGAGAAGCAATATGAATGAGCAAGCACGGATGTTCTAGAAATAGTAAATAGACAAAATATCTCGAAAATATTTCTTGTATTTATATAAATATATGTAAATATATTGCATATAAATATTTTTACAAAATCATAAACTTGAAAAAAAATGTTTTTGAAACATTCAAAATAACTTCAAAATAACTTGGACTATTTACACCTTTATAGGAAAGAATGGAAAATAAACAGCAATATGCGTTTAACTATTTTCTAATTGAAAAAATTAAGAATCCTTCAAAGTGCTCTTGGAAAATTCTAACCGCAAAAGAACTAAAAAGAACTCAGAAGAAGAATCATTCCTTTTCCTTGCTTAAATTAATAAACTATTGAAAGATATAAGCAAATGAATACAACAAATACAGCATCATTATCAACAATAAAAAAAAAGTAAAGTGTGCTGAAATTTGCGATAAATCAAAAAAATTATCAATATTTTAGGTGTTAAGCAACCTGAGCTTGAAGAATAACCGAAAAATTCGAAAAATCTATACTTTTCACACTAGTAGAACAAGTGACAAGTAAAATTAGGTGTGTCTATAAGTGAGTAGATAGCAAACTTTTTTCCAACTAATAGCTCTCGAAATAGAACACTCCTAAGAGTTACATTATTCGTGCGGTGTCGAACAAAAAACCCTTTTTTTGCGTTTCTCATCCACTTATTCATTACTTTTCGATATTAAAAAACCAATTTTAGCTTCATTATTGAACTCAGTACCCGATTATTTTTCTTGGAACGATGTGATGATGCAACACGAATAGCTGTGTCAAAAACTTGTCGCACACCCTAAAATATTGTTTCGGAATTTAATTTAATGTTAACTCCTTCAATGATTGAAAATAGAAGTTAACGCACAATGCGATTCTTAGTGCAGCGATGTTTGATGCAAAAAACAATAGTTATCCTATGATATGTTAAAAATTCTTTTTAAAAGTAGTACCTCTTTGGTTTTTGCTGAACATTCGATAACTTTATGAGGAGTAAATTCGCAAGCTAATGCGCTAGCTTCGTCAATATCCACTAATCCGTTGAAATTGGAGTCTTTTATCTTATCATGTGACGATGTAGTGAGTGCCTTACGCTCACAGCGAATATCTTTCTTGTTTCCGATTATTAAAATCGGTACTTCTGGACAAAATTTCTTAATCTGAAATAAAACAACGATAAAAAAGGCTAAATCTTTAAGCATATATTTTGATATTTTTTTTCTTAAGAGATGCTTTTTCTAAGTTTTAGCAAAAAATAAAATGATAAAATGATAGCTAAATGATAAAAATTCAATAAGTAAAAAAAAATGCGAAGTTATTTAAGAAAAAATATATTAAATTTGGTTAAATAAATTGATTGATTGAAGAGGAAAGAAATAACCTCAGGCAGCCATTTCTCTCTGATACTTTTAATAGATCCAGGTCTTTCGACTGAATAGCAAACGATAAAGACATCTGCATCCGGATAACTTAAAGGACGTAGCGAATTATAATCGTCTTCACCGGCTGTATCACAAACTGTTATTACTTTCTGGAACGATTTAGAATTTCATTCGTCTATTTCTATTTCTATTTTTATGTTTTTCTAATAGGCACCAAAAGCTGAAACTGAAACAGACCGTTTTGCCATTAATAAGGGCCTCAATCGCATAATCGTCAAATGCAGTCGGGATATAGTTGTCTGTAAATTCTCCGCCAGCTTGAACCATTATTAAACTTGTTTTTCCGCAACCACCATCACCAACCACAACAAATTTTAATGGCTTTTTGGTCATTTAAATGTGAAATACAACAGAGAGAAAATGGATTTTTATAATTGGATTGTTAACAAATATGAGAATAAATCAAGAAAAAATTGTTGACAAAATCTTATTGTCTCGTAGATGATAAAATTATGCCTGATAGAGGCAATAAACACTGATAGTTGAACAGCTCGTTTATCTTTTAGTATTTAACATTTGCCGAAGCAATGAACTGAAAAAAAATGAAAAATTTATTTTCAGAATAACATCTATTCGAATCCAGAAGTCGCTATATTGCACAGTTACCGATTTTCGACATTTTCCTCTTCATATAGTCTCCTTATTTAGGAATTAAATTTGCTTCTTAGTTTGAATGTTCTACTTAAAATGATTGGATTGTTAACAAAATTTTGAACATGCAATTCTTACTTTTACACTATTAGAGGGCTTGAAATTGTATGTTGTTGTCCGACCATTTTTCTATTCTCAAGTGAAAATCTAGCGGAAAGATTTCATCTTAATTAGCCAAGCCAAGCCGGGAATGGTGAGAAAAATCAAAATCGCAAGAGAAGGAGCAAAATCGCAAATTATCAACGAAAGGCGTCGAAAAAAAGGTACATAAATTAATACAACAAAATTTTAAAAAATGAGAAATAGTTAAACGAAAAAGCGTTCAAATAGTTATTAATTATTATCAGCATCACAAAACAGCAATTTTTTTACTTCAAATATTTGCCACTCCATGAAATTATTAAATCTAATTCATTGCTTCTATTTATTAAAAGAATTAACGTAAGTAACGTAAAGAAAGTAATCAGAATACTTAGATCACCATTAAAAATAACAAATGATAATTTAATACAATAATTCAATTAAAGCGTAATTCGAATAAAGAATGAATATTTTTTGCTCAACTGATTTAATAAATGAAAATACTTGAAGTTTTACTTACTTTACGATAAAATTCAATGGAGAAAATAAGGGAAAATTTCCTCAAAAAACAACTTCGAAGATAGAAAAGCAAAGTGAATATTGCAAAAGATAAACTGACAAATTAAAAATAAATTATTTCGAAAAGTAACTCCTAATTCCTAAATGCGAAGGCAAAAAATTTTAAAGATTTCAAACGATTTAAATAAGTGGCAAGCGTTCATTATTTCCTGGTTAGGCTTCTTTCCACTAGCTATTAGAACGATAAGAAAGTTTTGCCAGGAATTCAGTTGGCGATATACGCAGAGGTAGATCGACAGCACCACCCACATCTTTTAATGATAGGTTTATTCCTATAGAAAACATGACCCTTCGACACCCAAGACGACGAAGCAACAATTACCGAATTGTCTTATCTGTAATTTAAACGAGAATACAAATTAAATCATTGGAAATCACAAATCATATTGTCCCCAGAGTATTTAAAGTATAACTTTAAGGATTTCATGTAGCCTCAACGGCATAAATTTCACTAATTCTCACTAAAATATTAAATAAAAATTACAAGCAGTGTAGACTGAGCTTCGGCAAAAAAAGAGATCAAAGCCAATATAAGTTCGATTCCTGGCACATGACGGGTACAAAACCATCATTAAAGTAAAACACGGATGGTGCTGGAGACCCAGCTGCACTTCTATCTCCAAGTGAAATTTCTGATCTGATGAGGTAAGTAAAAGTATTCTTGCAGCCAATGAAGCGAGCAAATACTGAAAAAATGGTTGAAATGCTAAGATGAATTATCTTATTTATTCTGTATTATTTAATAAAAAATAGTCGAACCATTGATGTGAAAAATAAAATATGAGAATAGATATAATTCTAATAATAAAAATTTGAAATCCGAAACTCTCATATGAATAAATCTTTTATCCTTTAGCGAAGAAGCTTAAATTTATAAAGTATGGAAAAAAGTTTGACTTCAACGATTTTTTGCGGATTTGCTATCGTCTGAACCCAATTAAATGATCAGTTTGAAAGACCTTGGCCTATTCATTTTTGTTTTAAGAGTCCTCACCATTACTGGTTAGATTCGATGTACTGGCTTATCATACCGGACATATACGCCAGAGAATCCCTTGGCGATAGAAGGAGAGGTGAGTTGCCAGCATCAAAGCGAGTACGGATTGTTTCCAAATTCAAAGCGTTGATGGCAAGCTTCTATTCCTGCAGGAATAAACCTGTTCAAAAATCTGCGTGATGTACCAAAACAAATAATTTGGAAATATTTTTCCAGAAATATTATCCCATAAAAAATTAAGGAATTCCCTCTTATTCTTGCTTTAAATTTCAGTTTTTTGTTCCTTTTTTAAGGTATTTTGCTTGGAAAACAAACAATTAATTCATTAATTTTCGATTGGTTAGTTTAAATGGTTGATCACCAGGATGAGACCCTTTTGCCAGGGAGCAACGTAAGGATATAGATAAGCTCCTGAGAAGTCATGAATTTAATAAAATTGAACGGCAATATTAAAAGGTTTTTAAATTAATATAATGAAAATTGTCTTAAGGAAAATATATTTATTAAAATATTTCGAATGAAAATAAAAGAATTATAGAAATTTGAAAATTTTTATCCGAGGAAAAAATCTTCATTAATTATTATAAAAGGTTAAAGCATCCATTCCGCTAAAAAAATGATTAATAACTTTTCCAAACATTACAATTTCTTCTGACCCAAATCATTTCATTTTTTGAAATTTACAAATTTGTTTTTTGCCACTAATCCGATATTTCTAACTGAATGCTTATTGGAACGAAAGAAAAATTATTCGGGAATTTCAATTCCATGTAAATTGAGGAGAAATCCGGACACACAACATTATTCTTGAATTAATTTACTTTTACGAAAGTAATTATGAAAGCATATTTTTTAAAAATGGATAATATTTAAATATTTGCGAAATAAATCAATAAAAATATGAAATTAAATCGAATTTAAATGAAAAATATATTCAAAATAATGAAAGACAAACAAAAATAATGGAAATTCAGAAATTTGATTAGAAATCTTTAAAAATATTTTTAAAAAAAGTAAAATTTTAAAATATTTTAGGCATTTAACAATAATTTGATAAAATAACCAAAAATAACGGTGATGCTTTTTAGTATTTTCAGGATATGAAGGATTTTTAAGATACAAATATCCATGAAAATTTGCTTTTAAATCGAATCAATTATTATTTCGTTGAAGTGAACTGAAAAGAATTATGAACTACCAATTCACGTTGAAAAAACGAAGAAAAACTTTAAAGACCTTAATAATTCTATAAATAATTGATGATAATACAATAATAATAATTTTATGAATAGGAAAGAGGAATTAAACCTTTTGTTTTTTTTGTTACGAAAGTTGAAAACGATAATTTCATTTGTTTTGAAATGATTATTTCAATGCGAAAATAAAGATTTCAAAATAAAGAATTCAAATTATGCTAAAAGAGTTTTTGTAATGATAATAATAGCAACGAATCTTAACTACCACCATCAGAAAGGTGGAACTGAAGTAGTTATCTTTTTCGTCTCCTAAAAACATTTCTAAATTAGCTGCTCGCATTGGTTACTGACGTGATAGCTTTTTTATCAGTGAATCACTTGAAGATAAAAAAAAGTGTAAGTGAGCCAACACCAATAGGAGCAACTCAATTTAAGTAGTTTACTGCTATCCATTTGCTTCAACTGCGATAATCGAGGTAAGAAAACTTCCATGAATTGAAAGGATTAACTTAAAAAAGCTGCACATCTTCCGTTTTAAAAAATTTCCAGGCATTCCGCAAAAAAGCATCATTAAGAGTAGTCCAGATTGATAATTCTGATTTCCTATCGTTTAACTTTCTCTTTGTCCTATAATAACGCCATCAACAATCCAAAGCTAAATTTAAAAAAAGATTAGCAAAAATCTAGAAATACTTTGCAAAATTTCGATTAATAAGTATTTATTCATTTGTTCATCGCAAGAGAGTTGAAAATTTTCATATTCCGCTAATAATAATTGTTATTGAAAATAAAATGCAAATATGTCGATGAAGAAATGCAATTTTAAAAGTTAATAGCCGAAATACTAATATCTCATGAATATTATGAGTTTCTCATAATCTAACCAAATTATCTGAAGAGGACGAATTTTGACCCAATTCAATAAAAATACTGAAAAAAATTGTACTAAAAAAATGTACGCATTATTGTAACTATGGAAGGCAGCGTGGTCGAGCGGCAATAAGCCTATCGCTTAGATTGTCATTCCAAATTCTGGTTCCCATTCATTTTTCTAGTCCTTGCCTCCGGCGGGAGAAAACTTGTCATTTAAAAGTGCGAGTGTTATTACGAACTTTTATGTTTTTCTATCCCCAAGTGACTCTGGTGGGAATAAATTAACCAGAAATTATTCCAAGTAGTCCAATAGCTAATCATTAAGCAAATAAAAAGTGAGATTAAACTAAAATAAAAAATTTCGACAATGGAAGAATGTAACAAAAACCTTATAAATCTTATAGAATTGATTAGAATTATAGAATCTTATAGAATGCCATTCAAAAATGTTTGTCACAGAATTCAAAAATTGCAAAAAAAAACAAAATTGCTGAAATTCCATCAAGTGAAGCAAAAAAATTTATTTAAAAAAACATCTGTGATATTTTTATATATATAAAAACTTTTCAGAGAAAAATTTTACGATACGTATTCAACTATTATTTCGTTTAAAAAATGCTAATTATTTTTTAGAAACTTCCAAAAACAGAGAGAACGAATTTTTTGATCCGCTTGACTTGTAGCAATAACAGAATTTAATAGAATTAAAAATTGAGAATATCTTGAAAATTTTAAAAAAATTTTCAATAAACTAGTGAGAATGCCATTTTATAGGCCGCTACAACTGCCTTTACCATTAGAAATCTTCTCAGTCAAAATCTGTTCTTATGAATATTGATAAATCTCGAAGGCTATGGAGTATTTAAAGGGCTTGAGGGGATGAAAAGTTTTGCAGAACACTAGAGAATCTCAATACGATGACTCGAAAATTCGGAATCTAAGGCCTCTTTTTTTTC